CAGGCAGACTCCAAACGACGTGTGAGCGATGCTCTCGCCACCATGGAGGTGGCAAAGCTGATCTCCAGGCCACAGAGAGAGGAGTTGTTCCTGTTCTCCTTGTACCAGGTAAACAAGGGGAAAGCCTCATCTGTTGCTGGTTACACCGGGGCTGCTGTGTGCAGCAGACGGATGTGGTCCCTCTCTGGATGGGACCCGGATGCTCTCCCGTGTCCCCTGCCATGGCATCACTGCTGTGCCAGCCGGAGGGAGCCTGTGAAGCCGGTGAGGCTGGGAGGGCAGAGCCCAAGCCTGATCTGCACTAAAACCCTCAAAGCAGCACAAGGACTTTGCCTTTTAACCCAGCTTCCGCAGGGCTTGAACCCTGCACCCTGCGAGGGGTGCGACAACCCCGGCTCCAGGCTGCAGGGGTTTTGTTTGGGGAGCTCTTCTGTGTCTCTGGTTTGGTTCCTTGTTGTTTGTGAACATCCCACAGGCTCCTCTGAGCACCTGCGCTTCACTGGGGCTGACACAGCTCACTCCACACACAACTGCTCCCAGCTCCCGTTGGTGGTGAGTGATTTATGAGCACTGCGCTGCCTGGAGCCCTGACAAACTCTCATTTGGGTGATTGCAGGAGGCCAGGAACGAGAGCACAAATAAACCTGACAATTAATCCAGCTCTGACCCTTGCACACACAGCGACACTTGTTCCCAAGGACCTCAAGAGCCCAACTCTTCCCAGAGGGGCACACAAGCCAAGGCAGAGCTCAGCCAGCCCAAATACCCCTGCCCAACGCCCTTCAGTGTCCTAGTGCTGATAAGAGCCAGGCATCCCATCAAAAGCCTCTCTATTTTCCTTCCAAGCTACTCGCCAGCCCCAAATGTCTCATCCCCTGCCAAGATCAGCTCTTTACCCTCTGCATCATTATCACAGAGCATGTATAATTTCACAGCAAATCACCAGAACTGACAAATGACTGGAGGGATTGCAATTGTCAGGGGAGTTTGAAATGCTTCCTGCTGCAAGGAGACCAGGAATGGTGACCGGCTTTCCTGGCCAAAGGCACGTCTGACCCAGGCAGATGCTGAGTTGAAGAGTCCCTGCTCTGCTGGGTGCTACCAGCACACGGGCTTTGTGTTCTGGTGTGTTTTATACATACATATATATATATATATATGTGATATATATATATGTGTGTGTGTATATATATACACACACATATTTTTATATATATATTTCTTCTTTCCAATCTCTCCCTGCTCATCACTGGGTACCACATTCGCCTCCCTCTCCCCATCACCCACAGAGCATATGCAGATTGCAGGGAGGATGCTGAAGCAACACCGTGCCCTGGCTCACACAACAAGGACAACCTCACCTCATGCTTTTTCCTCCCCATTCTTGTAACTCAGCCTGGCCCAGCTAAAAATCTTCCTCTTGCTTTAATTCTTTCCAAAATAATCCTCATAATCCCCAAAAAACACGAATTCATCACCAGAAGGTTGCAATGCTCCTCACAGCCTCTGTCCAGGGCAAAAGCAGCAGGGACCATCTTCTGTCTTCCCTTCCCCATTCAAAACCTGCCTGCCATCCCATCAGAATAACTTCTGACTGTTTTAAAGCCATCTGCTTTTGTCCCTTTTCATTTTCCTCCCTTTATGTGACAGCTGTTCAAGTAGAGATGAAGTTTTCCATCATTAAATCCTAAACGTTGGCCTTGACCTTAGAGTTTTCCCACCTTCTGCTTCTTCAGCATCTGTGAGCTCCTGATCAGGGCTGCTGCTGTCAGCCCTCATCAGCATTTAAACCGGTGCAAGAGGCTGAACAGCTTGGCTCTAAATAAGGCAAAAGCCTTTCCAAGGAGGATTTCAGCAAAATCACTGGTTTTGGAGATCTTCAGACTGATCTCCAAGAGCCAGCAGTATCTGCCCAGTGCTCCGTGATGGGAGCCGGTCACTGGAGGAGCGCATGGAGACTGGCGGAGGCAGGTTGGGTTGATGAGGGTACGTACCTGCAGCGGTGGTGTCTGGGTGATGCAGGGATGTAGGGTGATCCTTCACCAGCACAGGAGCCTTTCGGGCAGACAAAGCGGTCACTCAGCACTGGGAGCCTTCCTCCAGGATGTGCAGCAGCTCGGACCACGGTGTCCACTTGAAATGCTGAGCTGAAGGCAGGGGACAGCCGGGCAGGAATCCTGCTGCTCCCAGGAGAACACAATCCATGTAAAATCCACTTCTCCGACCAACCGCCCCTCACTGGATGACATTCCATGCAGTTCCTCAATCCGCCCTCGCACAGAGCCATACCCTTGGCTCCCTGTCCCCATGTTCATCACCTTACACACCCCACAACAGTGGTCAGAGCTCCCGGAGCATCATCCCCACAGGTGCAGATGCAGGAGGGGAACTTGGGGACCCATCAAAGTCATCACACCCCACAGTCAAACCCCATGGGGTGGATGGCAGAGGTAGGGCAATCTACACCTGCAAATAGATACCAGGGCTGCTGTTTCATTAGGCAGTGGCTAATTGGCCTCCCCAATAACTTCCTGCAGGGCTCGTGTGGGATCACCCATCACCAGAAGATCCATTTTTAAACCATTTTCTCTTAAAATCCCACTTAAGTTGTATTTTAGGTTTCAATCACAGTTGAACAATGTTTACCTTGGCTGCTGGACAGGGAGCAAAGAAGCCAAGGTGCCCTCCAGCATCACCCCTGCTCGATGCTGGCACACATGCAGGTTATCTCTTGGTTAGGGGCCTTTGGCAAAGGGATTTGTGGTCCCACAGCCACCCTTGGGTACCACCAGCTTCTGCAGTCCCTTGGGAGGGGGGCCAGGTTCTTCCACCAGCCCCATTGCCAGCAGTGCCATGGGATGGTCACGGTGCAGCCGGTGGGCACGCACCACACAACCAAAGCCGTATCAGCCCTGGGCCAAGCGAGCCGCACATCCTGGGGTACCCCAACACTGCTGCCACCATCCCTTTGCCCCGTCTCAGCCCTTTTTACCTCAGACACCCCATCAGTGCCCCATTAGCAGAGGCATCTCCAACCCACCCCGCAACCCCTCTCACCACCACCCGCCCCGCGGGAGCGCGCTGTGGTTTTGCTGCCAAAGAAGGTGGTTTGGGTTGGTTGGGTTGGTTGGTTTGCTATTCTTTATTCTGTAACCAGGAGGGCAGCGCTCGGACACTGCTGCCCACGGCGCTTGCTGGTGGGCACGGCGAGCCATAGAACAGTGAACAAAACCCCTCCGCCTCGAGCAGAGCAATCCCTCCCCTCTGGAGCAAGCGGTGCCAGTATTTACAGCCGGTGGTTCCTCTGTACAGCCCCGGCTATGGCACAGCTCACCTCCAAACAGCTCTGCACAGGTCGTGGTACAAGAGATGCTTCCCCCCTCCCGGTACAGTTCAAGTGATTAAATCATCCAATAACTTCTTTGCCTGTTACAAGTCACAAACCTTAACTTTAAACTTGGGGTATTTGATGTGGATTTCTCTGCTCGGAGCCTGCCATGAGGTTTCGGGATGCTTGGGGATGCTTTGGTCCCCGGATGAGGGGTGAGGAGCAAGAGGAGGGCAGGATGGGAACAGCAATTCCCCCTTTCCCAAACCTGTGCTCCCCCCAGCCCATGTGTGAGCAGGGAACTGGGGCATCACCCCACATCAGATCCCCAGGGCTGGGTGCATCCCCACCGAGCAGCTGTGGGCCTCATCCCATTGATCTGAGCCCGATCCATTCATCTGCAGGAGGGTGCTCCCTGCTCCAACACCACAACAAAGGGGCTCAAAGCTGCCTGATGGCAACTGCCCTGTGTGTTCCCATGGTGTCCCCCACTGCAGGAGGGTCTGTGGTGGGATGGGGCATGCATGGAGAGAGCAGATGATGGAGATGTGTACGACAAAGCACCAAACCCAAGCTGTGCTGTGGGGCTGAGCTCCAAGCAATGGAGATTCCTGAGTGCAGGATCAAACCCTGCATGTGTCCCTGCACGGCCAGTGGCTGCTGGTGTGATGGGGACACGCAGCACAGAGTTGGGAACATCAGTGATGCATCAGAAGCGATCCCAAAGGACCCCAATGAGCAAGGGGTGAGGCTGATGGAGCCTGGCAGTGGCTGGGGGTCACTCCACAGCAGCCCCATGGCACTGCCCCCTCCTGCAAGCACTGACGGTGGATAACCTCTGCCCATCCACCCATCCACCAGCACCGAGCCACAAACCCCACAGGGACCAAAGCAACCTCTCAAACGCCTGCAAACCCCTTTGGCAGCCTCACAGCACAGCCATGGGTATCAGTTGTGCTTCAGCCCCGCCAGCTCCAACCCTCACCCTGCACACACGAAGGGCATGGGGGAAACCAGGAAACACAAACACGGCTGCAGCGTTAGCACCAAGGGTGGGACAAGCTCCTCACCCTCCATCCCATGGCTCCGGGTACCACCATGGGCAAATGCTGCCTGGCATTAATGGAGAGAACAATCAATTCCTGCTCCAGCCAGCTCCTGGCTGGAATCTTGTGGCGCTTCCCCATGTCCCGACGTGGGGTTGGTGTGAGATACCCAAACGCTGCCCTAGGGATACCGGTCACTCCGCATCCACCTTCCACCATCACCTTCCTGGATGTGTGGAGACACCAACGCAGCACACAGTATCGCTACTGTGCCAAGTGGGAACTTTATTCTTTGCTGTGATTTGTTTCGCTCCTTTTCCCTATTTTTTCCCCCAAATAGGTGAAAGGAGGTGGCTTTGAAATGGGTCAGATTTGGGATTTCCTTTTTGTTTTTTTCCCAGCAAAATCTGCACCACACAGGAAGAGCGCTCTGCCCAGCCACCAGCTCTGGTTACCTTGTACATGACAGAGCCACGGAGACACCAGCAGCGAGAACCTGGGAACGGAAAAACTTCCACATCTTTTGTGCATGGACTCGGAATTCTTTTTTTTTTTTTTTTTTTTTTTGTTTTTTCTTTAAAATAAAAAAGAAAAAAGCACAACAGAAAAGACACAAAAACCGTGGCTGACCATGAAAAACCTGTACATTGTAAAAAAACCAACAACAGGGAACAACCGAAACAACAAACCCCAAACAAACAACAAACACCAGCATTCGCTTGGCTTCCAAATCAGAATCAACCTGGGAACGATGCAGGGGGAACAGAAAGATCCAGGGACCTGCGCGTCGGGTCCCTCCGGGGGCCTGCAGCACGCTCTGGGTTCCTCTAGTGATGAACAGGATGCAAAGCAGTTAATAATACTTGTATTTTTTTTTTTTACCTTTTTTTTGCCATATTTTTCTCCCCCCAGAGCAAGAAAAGCAGAATTGAATGAGGAAAAGAAAAAAAAGAGTCTAATATTTGTTCTTTACCCATGTAACTGCAGATATGAGCCAACATCATGGAATGAAAACAAAAGAACGCAACGCAGAGCATTTGTGGGTATCACAAAAATACAATAAAAACTTCTTTTGTCCTTTTTTTCTCCTTTTTTTGGGTGTGTTTTCTTGACGTTTTCATGGTGAAGTCCCTGCCACGCCGGCTCCTGACCCCCTGCACCCGGGCCGGAGGAGGGGGGGGGCTCTGGAGAACCAACATCTACAACCAGGCAAACGGCTTCTGCTGAGTCAGCAAAGGTGTGGGTGGAACGGGGGCCCTGCAACCATGGCAAGATTTCGGTTTGGTATCTTCTAAGCTAAGTCCATACATTCTCCTGCCTCACGGATAACACGGATGGATCAGCGTGACCTCCTCTTTTCCTTTAAACCCTTCCATACAATGGACAAACACATCAAAGCCTGCACGTAAGAACAGAACCTCTTTTACAGCGTGTGGAATACTGCGGTTTCCAGTCCTTCCTCGCGTAAAATATTGACAGAATTCACTGAAGGTATCAAAAATATACCCTGTAGACCAAATACAATTTACAATTGCCTTTTCTCACCGTTCAGAAAACAATGCACTTAAAGCAACCGAGCCCCTCGGTGGGCGGCGCGCGGGGACATCCCTGCCCGCTCCCATTTGAGCCCGGCATCGCTTCCACCAAAGGGACCAGGAATTTTTGTGTTTTTAAGAAATAACTCTTCATTCCCCCCCTTCCTGCTCACCCCGGCCATGTCTGGAGCCTGTTGAGAGCTTGTGACCAGGGGATGATGGACAAACAGCCCTCAGATGAGCCGGGGGGGGAAGCAAACGGGGGCGTTCCATCCTATTTCACTCCTTAAACCATGCTCCTGTTTGTGTGCACCCGCTCAAGGTTTTGCATTTCCGTGGCACAGCCCCAGGGCTGGGATGCAGGGCAGCATCCCACAGCCCCTCAACTCCATTCCCACGGGAGGGCGGGGGTCAGCGCCCAGCAAGGCTGCCAAGATCGAAGATGGGTTCCTTGGGTTTTGTCTCGTTAAGGCTTATTTTCTTCTTTCCTTTCAGACTGAAGAGGATGCAGAAATTTCCAGATGTTGAGACAGAAAAAAAAACAAAAATGAAACAAAAAAAAAACCAAAAAAATAACCCCAAAATAAAAACATTCCCCAAACTGGCTGGGTTGGGAGGGGAAGGAAAAGGATAAAGGGAAAACCGAAACAGCTCTGCTCCTGCATCTTCGCTCGTGAGAGCCGGCGGGGCCGGGGCGGTGGGCGCTCGCCCCGCGCGTCCCCATTCGCTTCCCGTGCCCTGGGTTTGGTCGCCGTCTCCCTGCCGCTGGGCTCGCTTCATTCACTGTCCGAGAGGGTTTCGTACTGGGAGCAGAGCAGGGGCTTGGGCTCCTCGTCCCAGGCGTGGTGCTGGCTGCCGGGGGTGCCCTGCGGCAGCGGGGCGGCGGGAGCTGCCGTCACCACCCCGCTGGGGAGCCGCATGGTGAGCGGGTTGTAGGGGAACGGCGTCGAGCCTGTGTGGGGAGAGCAGAGCAGGGTCAGTGTCAGCCCCCCGGTGATGGCGACGGGGCCTTGGGGACAGGTCCCCCCTCCAGCCCTACCTGCGGACGACGGCCGATCCTCCCAGACGCGGTTGGTGAGCGGCGTCCTCCGGTTGCAGTCGCCCTCCGAGTGCACCGAGGAGACGGAGGGCGGGCGCTCGCCCGAGGACAGGCCCGGCGCCGGGGACTTGGCCTTGCGGCTGTTGGGTCTGGCAGCGATCTTTGGCTTGCCCCCTCCTCCTGCAAAGAGAAGCGCCCGCTCGTCACCCCGCTCATCGGGACGGGCTGCGGGGGTCCGGGTAACCCAGCGCTGCCCCTTTGAGAGGCTGCAGAAGTGGCCGGTGGCAGGAGAACAGCTCAGCCCAGGGGCTGGGCACTGTGGGGGGCAAGGGTGATGGGGTGAGCTCTGCACGCTGGGCAGGAAGAGGTTTCTGTGCCTCCCCTGCTGCTCCCTGCTTTGTGGGTTGATGCTACCATGGAGTGGATCTGGGGCAGCCGTGCGGCTTTGGATGGGCTGGTTCTCTGTGGGGTCTGCTCCCAAGCGATCTCATGTCTCAGCCCACACATAGGGGTCATGGGACAGGAGCTCCATGTGTTGCTGTGCAGCCAGTTGGCAGGGACCCCACCAAGGAGCCACAGGAGTGCTGGAGCCCCGAGCACATTCCCTGTTCCCACAGTTTACATGGCCAGGATGGTTTTTAATCCGTCCTTGCAGCAAAATCCCTGGTGATGTTCAGCCAGCTTTTAAAAGGTTTCAAGGGGAAGGGGCCTCTGCTGGGGACATTATCCCGGATAAACCAGGGGGGAGCTCCCAAAGGGGCAGGGATGGATGGGCTCTGCATCCCACCCTGCCTGCCTGGGCAGTCTCCGGGCACGGGGAAGCACGGTTGGAAGAAGCTGGTTTCATGCAGGAGCCAGAAAAGCTTTTCTGCAACAAGCTGAAGAGTGCCTGGTGTGAGCTGACCTGGAGGACCCTGCTCCTCAGCCTCAGGGGCTCTGTGCCCTTATTGCCAAGGTGACCCCAGCACTGGCTGCTGGGCCCTGTGCTGGGTGCTTGGAAGAGGCAATCTGCCCTCAGCAGGCACGTGGGGACAAACACTGCCCCATCCATCCCTCGTCCCCCTCCTCTTCCTTAACCGGGGGTCTGCAGAACAACCCTTGAGCTCTGCTCAAGCCTCTCCTGTGGCTGAGCAGACCCCACCATGGTGCCCAAACAGCTCTGCAAGCCCCATTGGGGCTCACTGGGCAGCTCACCCCAGCCCTGCTCTCTAAAGTTCTCTCCTTTCTACACTTTGATCTCCCTTAAGCTCCATCTCTTGCCCCAGGCACCCCCAGGTCACATCCAACCCTCTGTCCCAGGCTGCATCCAATCCCTGCTGTCCCAAGCCTGGGGTGGGGAGGGAAGCACCACCCTGCCCCATCCTCCCCACACTGGCTCCTCTCAGCTCCTTCCCTTGTTTAGGGACCAGCGAGCCCACCCCGGGTTTACGGACACTTCGGGGTGGCTGTGTAGGTTGATGGCTTCCATCTTTTGAGTGTGGTGTGTGTCATCCCCCCCACCCATAAACCTTATATTGTGTAAAAAAGGAAAAGGAGGTATTAAAACCCAACAAACGGGGAAAGGAGCAGTCAGTGGTTTTAGAGAAAGCATCAGCACCTTCTGAGACCATTAAATGAACGTCAAACAAGACCAGGATTAATCAGCGGATTCACAAAGCTCAAAGCTGGGGCAGGGAGGGGAGAAAAGAAAACCAAAATGAACAAAAACGAGGGGAGGAACAAATCCACCCCCAAAAGGGGAAGTGTAAAAGGCTGAGAATTAATAACACAGAGAGCGAAGGTGGAGAGGGCTGCAGACCTGGCAAGGAGCGCACGTCCTCGTTTCGTCCATCAGCAGGAGTTATGGGCATAGCAGCGGGCAGGCTTGCACTGGCATTCAGAGAGTTAAAAGCATTGGCACTGAGAGGTGAGCGCTCTTCCCACTGCTCGTCATATTTACCCATTAGGGCTTTCCTAATTATTGCCTCCAACCCCATGTTGGTACTGGAATTCTCTTGGACCGACTGGCTCCTACAACTGATTAGCCCTGGGAGATACGGGAAGGGGAGGAGAGAGGGGATGGGAGATGGGGGGGAGCCAAATGAGAAGAAAGATGGGGGTGGGGACGGGGAAAGGGGGAGAAAGGAGACAAGGGAGAAGGGAAGAAACAAACAGTCAGCACATTCTCGCAAAGCAACAAACTTTGTCATCTTGTTCTTTAAAGCGCTGCAATGCACCCGTCCTCCTCCTCCTCCCCGCTCCATCCCGCCCCAGGGATCGGCAGGGGCTGGCGGTGGGATGGGATGGGATTTAGTCTGGGATTTGGGATTTGCAGGCAGGCAGGGCTTGGAGGATGGCAGAGGGGAATGGGTTGTCACTGAGCACAGGGAGTGACTGTATAACTGCAGGAAGAGGGGGTGCTGCGCTCCCAACATGGGGGCAGGACGAGAGTCACCTGGATGTGGGGTCCATATGGATGCACACACAGATCAAAAGTCAGTGTGCCAGGAATTCAGAGGCTGGGGCTGTTTCCCATGGAGGAAAAATCAGGGAAGGAAGAGAGGGCACCCCAGAAACCACCTGACTGGAAAGAGGTGACTGGATTTGGCCTTGGCATGAGAGGCAGCAAAGGCAGGCAGCCCTGGATGAGGGCACACAGCCTGCAGAGAGGGGCTGTACTGGGGAGAGCCCTTTTGTCCCCCTTTTCCAGCCCCCTGCCCATCACCCAGCCCGCTCCCTTCCTCCCCCCAGGCCGGTGGCCCCCGGGGGCTATGGGACAGGATGCAGAGGCAAGTGGTGTGTCCGCGTGGTTGTGAGTCTCAAGCCATGCAGTTATGGTGCAGCACCGCACAGGGACCAGAGGGCACTAGGTTCAGCCACGCCACCGTCATTCCCGATGTGGCGGTTACAGGGAACAAGCAAAGGGCAAAATACAGACATGAAACCAGCAGGCTGGCGAGGAAAGCCCCATTGCCAGCAACACCACACACCCCCCCCCCCATCCCATCCCAGGGGTGCTCGCACTGGGATCACTGCCCCTCTGCTCGGAAAGGGATGGATCCCACTTCACTTGTCTCTCTGTAACAGGCAGGGTCTCTCCTGGTCCCCTCCTGCAGACGCTGTCCTTAGGTTCCCTACACTCTGCCTTTATACCTTCCTCCAGCACAGCAGGAGTGGGTTTATCCAGGGGATGCTCTAAGGAAATTGGGCTGTAAACCCCAAATTCTGCCTGGCTGCATCCTCTCACCCCATCTGCTGATGTGAGCTGGCTCCTTCTCCTTCTCCCAACCACACACCAGTGAGAGGTCTCACACCACCGACGCGCCTGTCTCTCCTACCACACAAAGTCCTTGCCTGCAGCACCTCTCTTCCTTGGTTGTGAGAAAGCTGCTGCTCCTCCCACTTAAAACTAACAACCTGAAGGCATTCCTGCTGTAGGAAAGCATTAGTATTTAATCAATTAACTACCAATGAATACTCCTCAATGGAGATTCATTTCAGTCACTTGAAAGCCCACTTAGATATGGGCAGCAGGTGGCAAGAGCTTGACCACCTTCACTCTTTCTCCCTCAGGCTGGTCTCAGGGTAGCCCATGCTGGCCACCCAACTCTACAGGGCCGTTTTCTGCCCCTCTTTGCCAAGACCCCTTCCTTAAGCTGCTCCCTCTCTTCCTTTCCCAGCTGAAAGCCATGGGCCCAGCAGTGCCCGTGGGGAAACTCCTAAACCACCATTTCAGCTCCTACAGGGTGGTCCCCATGCTCAGCACAGCAAACACATCTCCACGGTTGTCTGGGGAACCATCCTGAGCCCTTTCTTCCTGAGAGCAGGGGGCTCTTTGGGGTACAGCCCCAGTGGTAGCCAGCGAACCCCCTGCTTAGGCAGGCCGGCAGGTTAATGCTGGTTAGGGTCAGGGACTCACTGAAGCCCACCATGGCTGCCTTCAGCAGTGCTCAGAAACCACCACCAGAACTGTCCGTCCAGATCCGGGTGATCAAACCCCAAACCATCAGGGTCCAAGGTGCCACAAAGCCCATCTGGTGGCACCAGCAGCACCACCATGGCGAGACCTGGCCACTCGCTGAATGTTCCCTCCCAGCTCCTGAGAAACTGGAGTCAACCCATGCTTGAAGCACCTCGAGGACTGAGCACGCTGCTGGACCGAGCACCCCTCCACCTCCCATGTAACACCTCCTCTTGGTCCTCAGCCATTGCCAGTCCACAAAACACTCACAGCTCAAGGCTACTGGGTGCTGCTCTCACCCCAGGTTGCTTTTGCAACAGGCTCAGAGCCTGCTTCCCACCCTCATGCTCCCTTTTGCCACTGCTCTCCTACACATCCACGGGTGACCACAAGATCCCACGAAGACCACAGTGCTCTCTTTCAAGTATGAGGTCCACCTTTCTATAGTTTAACCCTCCGCTGCCATCAGATGGACAACCCCTGCTTGACTTTTAACCTCTCCTCAAACTCTGCCATGACTTCCAAGGAATTACACTGCGCTGTCTCCAACTCAACAGCAGGAAGTTACGGTGTGTCCCGAGGTTTCAGCCTCCCAGCAACTGTTATAATCAGTATTAACAGCAAAAGGGAAAAAGATGCTTAAGTCTACCAGTCTCCTGCTCTCTGTGCTGTAAGCCCTGTAGGGAATGGGGTATGGTACAGGAATATGGGAGTTACCTGCTCCGGTAATCGCTGGCATATTGAAAATCTCTGTCCCAGGCTGCCCAACATCTGGAGAAAAACAAAGAAGCTCTTCAATACAGAGAGCAGCATCTGCAGGGAGTGACCTGCAGTGCCAGCCACAGGATCCCAGTGCTCCCTCGTCACAGCACCCAGCCTGACAGCAGCCCACCTTCCCCTGGGCTGCGGCTGTGGGTGCTGGCTGGGACCAGGACCTTTGGGAGATCCACAGTGGACATGCCTGGCCAGCTGGGAAGGGGCAGAAAAGCAGAGCCCAGAGAGTGATGTCTTGTGCTCAGTGCTGACCTCTCTTCCTCCAGCCCTTTGGATTACACATCAAACCCTCTCTCCCACCTATGGGATTTCCAAAGGCTCAAATCCCCACATCCACAGAGCAGGTCTGGGCAGTGGGGAGGGCGAGGAGGAGGAGGAGAAATGTTAAATCAATATTTTCCCTCTTAGCTGAGCTGTTTGACTTGGATTTCACTTTCCTTAGAATAACAACAATTCTCATCAAATAAGAGGAGTTTCCTATTTCTATGTATTTTCCCTTGATAAGGGAAAGTGTGGAAGGTCACAGGGTTCAGCCACATGTCCCCAAGGGGCATAACAATACTGTTGGCTCATGGTAACATCATCCAGGAGACGAGACAGCTTGGTCCCTCTTATCCAATGCAGCTGTTGCAAGATGGATTCAAACTGAATTAGTATTGACCATATAATGCTGGGCTAAATTAAATTATGATCCCATCTACTCTATTAGCAGTTAATGAATGAACGGGATGAATTTCTAATACAAGCCAGCCTGGTTAGTCTTACAGAGCTATACCAATATTGATGTAGGGCTTAAAGTCATGCTGGGGGGAGATGCAGCTCAAGGAGGAAGGACTCAGCTTGGCTGGCCATTCATTAAAGTATCAATTGCTCTTAAGTCTCCTCCATGCTCAGCTCATTATTTCCTTCCTATTGAGGTTATGTGGTGCAGGTGGGATTGACAGCCCTAGAGTAAGGAGAGCCCTAGAGCAAGCTCCAGCACCGCTCATCCCAGGAAGCATTTGTACCTTACACTTCCCAACAAACTGTGGCACGAATCAGAAAGCTGGCTGGCAGCTCTCTTAACGCATCAGCATCCATTCCCAAATCTCCTTTGCTTCATGTGTCCTCAAGGCTTTTTCCCCTGGTGCCCTGCATTCGCATCCCCACATGTCCTTACTGTACTCCGTCTCGTTTTTGTTGGTCGTGCTGAGCTTCTTGATGATCTCCTGTTTCTTGGACTTCACCATGGCAGAGTTGCTCTCTGTCAGCTTGCTGAAGAAAGCTGGAGGCTGAGTGTTGTTTCCTGGGGACTTGGACCCCATCCTGCAAAAGCAAGAAACCATCAGAAACCTCTGCAGCGTGCAGTTCACAATACCCTCCCTAGAGAGACTCTTCCCTCAGCGTAACTTCTCAGAATCAGCAGGTGAGCTGCTGAGACATTTGGGATCTCCAGCTTTTCTCCCTGTTGCAAAGGTACCACACAATGTTGAAACCCCCTATAGACACACAGAAACCCGGGATGTGACACTGCTTTTGGCTGCCAGAAAAGCAGCCTGGACCACGGCGAGCGTGGGAAGGGGGTGAACATCCCTGCGCTGCCCGCACCATCCCGTCCCTTGGCGTTACCTCTGGTCCATCGGCTCGCCCTCGCGGTACAGGATCGGGTACGTGGCGCTCTTGGCGTGCTCCGGTTCTCCCACGCCGTCTGGTGGAGAGACCGGCTCGATGCAGTTGTCCGCGCCGCCGCTGCCGGCCGAGGCCTTGCTCTGCTCCGGGGACCTGCGATGGGGACACGCAACGGGTTCATTGCAACACGCGCTGTCCCTGGACGAGCAGCTCGGGGTCAGCAGGGGGAGAAGGACTAGAATAGCTTTCCCACAGCGGGGCAAAAGGCCAAACCTTCCGCACGCCTGCGGGCTTAGGGCGCCTTATAATGGGAGCAGGAGGGAGAGTGCAGCTTGGGCATCACGCGCTGCAGGCGTGCAGAGCAGCACTGACCCAACCACGGCCCTGATTCACAGGCATTGCACCAAAACACAGCTGCCCAGGAGGGATGGAGGGACCAGTCCTGGCACTTGCTGGCTCAGCCAAGCGTTCCTGGCTCGCAGGGTCACAACCCTTGGAAGGGCTGTGATGTTAACCCTTTGGGGATGCAGCTTTTGATTCTCCATCATGTTTGTGGACCCACCACCTCCCATCCACCTTGTCTGCTGCTGGGGCAGCCTGAAGAGGACTGGAGCAGTCCCTTGGTGCCTGCCTGTGGCCAGTGCCTGGGAGACAGCCGGGCTCAAGTCCATGAGGAATTCCTCATGGCAAGTTCTGGGAATTTACATCTTTGCTCTTTCTGTGGTTTCTTTTTTTCCACTGCTGGGTGGCCAGGGCTGGGCTGTCTCCCCTCATGTTACAAAGCCAACTCTGCTCTTCCCAGCTTTGCCTGCTCCTGATTACATTTACTGTCAAGGAGACACCAGTTTGGAGACACAGCTCTTTCCTGGATGCTGTTATCAGTACCAGGATTTGAAAGTGACTTAAAAGAAATACAGCTGGTGCTTGAAATGGAGAGCTGCAGTTGACAAGGCACATGTATCGAACAGGCTTCTGATACATGCACTGAGAGAAACAAAGAGAAAATGAACTGTAAACCAATGGAAAACACCTGCTTTGGGTTTTTGGAGCCACCTGTGGTCTGAAAGGTCACTGCATCTTGTGCCAGGGACTGGACAGGACAACAAGCAAGAGGCACAAACCAACACATATGAAATTCCATCCCAATAGAAGAAAACTGTTTTTTTACTGTGAGGTTGCTCAAGGGCTGGTATAGATTGGTGAGAAAGGTGTTGAAGTTTCCATCACTGGAGATACTCAAAATTCCACTGGCCATGACCCAGGCAAACCTGCTTCAGCTGAGTCTGCTTGAGAGCAGGGCATTGGGAAGGACAATCTCAAGAGGTCCCTTTCCACCTGAACTATTCTGTGACACAGGCTAGATTGGGAAAGGGATCATACATGGCCTCTAAGGGGGTCTAGAGAGCATCTCCAGGACAAGGATAGCAAGAGACACCACCACGGGGTAAAAATGCCCTGATCAGATAGCAGTTTTACACTGTGGGCTGTGTAAGCAAGCAATCCATGCTGGGGAGCATGAATTCAGCGATGCCAAACACCAGCCTGCCCTATGCACCCCCTTACTGGGGGTATCCCTGGTCCATCTGCGCTCAGCAGGTGGGCAGAGACCCATCTGCACCAGTTCTGGTTGGACTCTCTGAGCTCACCTTTTCCCCCCTTCATTCTGTGGGGAGATCCTGGAGGCCGCTGCGTGCTCCTGCTGCTGCAGGTACACCTCGCTGGGGGCACGGCGCAGGTCCAGCACGGGGCACGTGGCCCCGGGGAACGTGTACACTGGGGCCTGGATGTGGGAGTTGAGCTGCTGCGGGTGGTGGCGGGTGTAGTCCTGTGTGATGACCTCCTGGAATGAGAAACCCAGGTCAGAAATAGAGGTGGTTTCTATCTCTTGCTTTGCTGGGCTCAGATAAGGGGGAGCAGGAGGGAATGAGGCTGGTTTGTCCCTGCATGGATGTAACTTCTGCCTCCTGCCTGCAGCAGCTCCCATGATGGGCTTGTTTGGGATGCAAACACCCAGGCTGAACATGCTGGATGCACCCTGCTGTCTCCAGCCCCCAACCAGAGCTGCTGAGGTCTCCAGCATCACTCCCAGCCCTCCCCTACCAGACATGCTACGTAACAGCTCTTCCCTCCTCCCTGGAGCCCCAGTGGGAAGACGAGAATGAGGACAATTACACTGATGTGCTGGGCCAATGTGACCACCCGCTGGTTCATGCCCTTGATGCTCTGGCTGGACTGCACGGGCTGGCACTGGGGCCCATCGGGCTGCCGGAGGTGCTGCAGGTGGGCTGCTTCAGGAGCTGAGGCCTTCAGCGAGCCTGGGGGAGAACAAAGAGGAGAGCCAGTGTGAGGTGACATCGGTGTCCTAATGCTTGGCTCCCATTCTGGAGCAGCTCTGGGGCACAGTGAGTGAGAGCTGGTTGACAAACCCCCCCCCCCCCATCCCAGCTCAGGCTCTCCCATGCCATCTGGCACTGCCAGCCTCTGCCCTCACCTTGCTGTTTCTGCCTCAGGTCATGCTCCCCATGCCCCTTCTCCACATCCTGCAGCAGCTTGGCCCCTTTCTCATGGGAGAGGCTGGGTGAGCTCACAGGACTCACTGCTTCCATCCGCTCAGGGCTGTAGCCTCCATGAAAGCCTGAGGAAAAAGGGAGAAGGGAATTAAAACCAGGAGCTCACTTGGCTTCTTCCTAGTGCTGTGGCAACCGTCACTTGCGGGTAGAGTCATATGTTCAGCAAAGGGGGCTGGAAAGAGATGAGGGAAGACCTGGCAGGTCACACTGCAGGGACCCCTGGAGCCACCTCCGATGTGAAGAGACAGCAGACTCGCACACTGCAGGGGAAAAGCATTTTCTTCACCATTCTCTGCCTTTTAAGGCCTTTGCACAGACTCAAACTGCATCAGAACAGGCAGAGCTGAAGGAGGGACCACATCACCTTTCAACAGAGGGAAAACTGATGCATGGATGAGTTATGCTTCTACAGACCAGGGGCAGAGCACGGAGTCCTGGAGGAGTCCCACACTGCTGCTCCCCAGCTCAGCATGTTTGGTAACACTCATGACTTATGCATCCACAGACCTTTACCCTCGTTAACACTCAGTTCCTAGAAACCACCCACTGCAGGCAGACCTGGCAGGCGGCTGACAGTGCTGCTGGAGGGTCCCCAGTGCCCCAGTGCCACTGACCTTGCACGTACCTGGGGCACAGTAAGGGGAGGACCGCATGGAGAACCTCCCTGTGCCAGGGATAGGGATGCAGCATCCCCCATCACCCCATGTATGCCAGCTGCAAAGGGATGCTCTGGAAAGGTCCCTAACCAGAGTTAAAGTCCTGAGGAACACCAGCTCCCTTCTGTAAGCTCATGGCTGGAGAAAAGCTGCCCCTCTCCTCTGCAGCATAACACTCAGCTGAAGGAAACACTGATGCCAGGGAAAAAGGCAGAGCAAAAGCTCAGCCAGGCAGCACACTGTGGCCAGAGGTGTGTCCTTGGACCTGGAGCACGCTGATAGAAAGGGCTGGGAACAGACGTGACCAAGTGGTGGGATGGGATGATCGGGATAAGCCAATGAGAGCAGCTCTCCTCCCTGGCCATACTGCCGTGTCCTTCCACCCTTGGGTTAGAGGAAAGGGAGCTGGGCAGCAGCCCTCAGTGCTGGTGGCCAAGGCAGATGCTTCAACTTGAAGATGGGATCCCACCAAATCCCCACAGGCTGCCTGTTGCTCCCGCATGCTGGTGGTACCATGTTCACATTACCCTCTTGTGCAGCATCCAGCACTGGGACCCTGAGTGAGGTCACCCCAAGTGAAGGGACCCCATCTCAGCTGCATCATGCAGCAGCCCCCTAAGCCCTCTGAGATCCTGCACTCTCGGCGCAGGGAGGTGCCTGCCTGATGGCCAGGAGCCCTGTGCTGCTCACACTCCCAATTCTCTGCTTTGCTGGTTTGATTTATTACCCACAACCACTCCTTACAGACTGCCTGGGAATTCCGAATGATGGGGAAATCAGAATTAGCACATTGCTATTGTCTGTAAAAAGCAATACCAGGAACTGAACAACATTTGCAAAACAGGACTTGGCAACGGGAAAAACTTAAAGAGGGTGAGAGGAGGGAAGATCCTTAAAACACACATAAATAAAGAAGTCTGGGATAACACCATAACCGGGAAGCAGAGGGACAAGAACGCTGGCGGAGCTGATGGAGCCAAGAGCCAAAACGTGCAACTACAAATAAGAATCATGAAATAATTTCAGGCCACAGCTCTCTCACCTCTCCCCTCCAATTTCTTACCAGCACCAGTGGAGTCGTTACTTAGCGAGCATCTTTCTCGCTGCCCCTTATCGCAAGACATTTGGCACATGATAATCACATCTATGAAGTTGGCCGCTGTCGTGGTGGTCTTACCGAGTGCTCGGAGCTCCTGTTCCTGCACTGAAAAGCGTTTACTTTGACTCTTTTCTCTACTGTGCTGCTCAGGGCCCGAGGCTGCGTGCTGCTGGTCCAAAGGGTGATGGTGCTGCTGGCTTTTCCCCTGTCCTCTGCTATAGTGATGAGAAGAACCAGGTCCGGAGGCGGGTAAAGGTCTTGACTCCATGGCTTTAATGGGTGAAGGTGACTGTTCGAGGTTGGCTCCACTTGGCAGCTTTGAGGTGAAGACGTTGTCAGTCTGGGGTCGTTCTGCCTTGGCTTCCCGTGCCCTCGAGGCCTCTTTCTGCAGGATGGCCGGGTCCATTGGGGTGGCATAGCCGTCTGCTGAGCTGATGGAGGAGCGCAGGGTGGAGGCCGAGGGGAAGGCAGCAGAGCGGATCGGTGATGTGGTAGTGGTGGAAGAGGATCTGGAAGCAAAGACAAGGCAAAGATGAGAGAAGCACGTGGAGAAGGACTGTGTGCTCAGCCCTGCCTGGCCAAGGCGGTCCCAGGGCTCCTGAGTGTAGGGCTGGTTCATGCTGGAGCAGGTAAGGAGGGCTCAGATGGAGCCTCCATCACTGGCAGTGGCCTGGATGCATCTACTGGAGAGAATAAACCCATGGAGAGCTCCCAGAGACCTTCATTAACTCCACTTTCAGCAAGAGGAGCAATACCCATTCTGGGCACAGGGATGCTCCTACTTTCTTTCCTTTTAACAGTAAAAGCCACCAAGAAAAGTGAAGGAACTGGGCACCAAAACCTGCCTCTCCCCACACAATATCCTTGCAAGCCCCAACCCTGTTCCCACTGATACTGAAGGCCAGAACAACCCTCGCTCCATCTCAGAGGCACCCCATGTGATGATCATTCATTAACCACCATGGCTGTGGTGGTGCAGGAGCAGTGGTGTGGGGCCATACCGCAGGACAGAAGGGGTGGGGGTCTCCGAGGAGATGATCTTCATGCTCGTGTTGTGGAGCACGCTGGGGCGCTGCTGGATGGTCTCATGGGTGCGGGGTGAGACGGGAGAGTGCTGGTGGCTGTGAGAGTGTGAGGATGAACGGCTGCTGGACTGCTCCGTACCTGAGGAAACACCAAGACCGGCTTCTTCAGCTCTGTGTTTTACAGCCCCAAGCCCACGTCCACCCAGCACATGCCCCAAGATGTGGTGCCAGGCTCCCTCCCCAGCCTACCTGGTCTCCAGATGGGTGCATGCTCCACCGTGGTGGATGCTAGGATGGATTTTTCCCGCTCCCGCTCCCTTTCTCGCTCCCGCTCCCGTTCCCGCTCGGACACAGATGATCCCGATTGTTTGGTCATGTGTGTGGGGCCTCCTGAAACCCAAATGAAAGGCAGTGAAAGGGCTGCAGACACAGCAATTCCCAACCTAGGGAACACCACCTGCTCTTCACATTGCTGTGTCTGCAGACCAGGTAGGGAATGACTCCATCCAAGGTCACCTGCAGCAGCACAAACAAGGGCAACCAGTATGACAAAACCTGGGTAAACCATGGAATAGCTGTGTCTTTTTGGGGAGACAGAGGAAAAGCAAGGAAGCTCCCAACAAGGAGAATTAGAGGGGCTGGTGGGCTGGTCTCTGAATGAGAATGAATTTGGGCTCCCCCATCTGCCCCGGCAGAGTCCACTGCCCTGGACTGGTTAAGGGAATCCTGCCTAACTGCTTTCCTATGGGAAATGCAATCTGCAGCGTTACCTGGGGAGAGTGGGGAGCTGCTGTGCCGGCTGCCAAAGGTCTGGGGGGGCCCGGGGATGTAGGTGATGCGGTCCATGGTGGTGGCAGAGGTGCCAGGGGTAGGGGGCACGAGGACAGGCAGGTGCGGCACTTGGGACAGGTCGATGATGCCTGGAGAGAGAAGTGAGAGGACTGTCAGGATGCTGCCGAGCTGCTGCAGCTTGGCTGCGTTAGAGCAGGGAGCAGTGCTGGGAGCGTCCACCCATCCCCATTGCTCTGGCACAACACGGAAGGTGTGAGCACATACAAGGTCCCTGGGTGCTGGTTATAAGCGGAGGAGACCCTTCTATAGGCAAATCTGTGAGCATATTCTGCTGTTAGGAATGATGGTGAGGAAAAATGTTGAGCTCTATCCCTGCTAGAGTGAGGGGGCTGCAGGCAGCATGAGCCGCAGCTCCCTCTACACACACACTGTGCAGCTCCCCAGCATGCTCTGCCCTTTGCAGAAAGCCAGACACCCCTCTGGGACAGTTTTTAATCTCCAAAGGCCAGCAGGGCCAGGCTGGGAAGTGCTCCCGTGACCCAAGACCAGAGCTGCTTCAAGCAATCTCTAGTAACTAAAGATGGCAAAAAGAGCATCAAATTCCCCCTGGCTGTCCTCCATGCTGACCAGCCAAGTTCCTACACTGCTGCGTGACACCGTGCTGCTGGCTTGGCCCTTGGAGCTGCTCCTTCACCCCAGATGCCCCCAAGCCCCTGGATGGTGCCGTGCCGGGAGGACCTGCTGCATAGTTGAGGGCGAGGGAGGGCTCCCGGGGTGACAAGCCGCGCAGCATGTCCGCCCGCTGTGCCATGGCCGTGGCTGCAGCGTTGTGGTGCATCTGCTGGGACGTGATGTAGTCGTTGATGATGGTCTGTCGGTTCTCCATGGCGGCCGTGTCCGGGTAGCCCCGGATGAGGTACGGGGGGTAGAGGTGGGGGTACGTGGGGCTCGGAGCCAGGTGCCTTGGCAGGTAGTAAGCAGCAGCTGGGAGAGAAAAGGATGCAGATGTAAGTGGCTTTCTCCAGAGACCCCAGGCTTTTGGAGTCTGATGAGTTAAAAACCAATTCCAGACAGACTTGTGTGCCCACTGAAGGTACCTGCTTCCAGCTGGATTCCCCTCGGGATGGCAGCGGGGTCAAAAGCCAGCGGGATGTGTCCTCGGTACAGGTCGACCCCGCTCACGCCACGGAGCAGGTGCTCATATGGGGAGATGGGGTGGTGGTGGTCAGCCACGGGGGCATGTGGAGACTTGGAGTTGTTGAGTTCTCTCGATGTGGGGGTAATCTTTCTGTCCTGGGACACCGGCTTCCCGGCAGTGATGCTCCCTGCAGCGAGAAGGAAATGACTCAGAGACTGAGCACTGTGGCCAAGCTGAGTCCCTGAGGAATGCCTGCAGCCAACCGTGTCCCCCAGGGACCTTGCTGACCTTGAGGGACCTTTCCCTCCTCCCCGCACCACCGTGCCCCGTTACGCCACCGAGGCTGAGGCAGACCAAGCCCCAGCTGCATCCAGAGAGAGAATCCTGTCCCAGACCATCCCTCCACCCCAGTGCATCCACGCTGGGCAGTCTGTGAGCTCACCCTGGCCTGCACAAGCAGCAGACAGCGAAGCCTTGCTGCTGTGCTCTTCGGCACAAGGAGGTCACCACTGCTGGGCAGAGCTGGGGACCAGCATCTGCCAACATCTGAAGGCTTCCCCCAGAATGACTGACCTAACCAGGAACACAGCGGAGGCTGCAGCAACTGGACACACCAACCACGGAGAGCTGGAGGTGCCCCAGATAGCAATGAATGATGGGGATGTGTTCTGGAGAAGCTCTGCGCCGCACAGCCCCATCTCTCACTGCTTGCCGGGGAGGCACGTCCTCACCTCGGTTCTCAGCAGATTGCAATGTCTTGTGCTGCACGCCCCCAAATCACAAGACTCCTGGGTTAGGACGAGTATTTGCAGGCAGGAGATGCAAAAGGCCCCAGAGCAGTTACCCGTAGCTGGCAGGCTTGGTAGAACAAGGTGTCTTAGAGACTGGCTTCAGCACTGATCCTGCCCACAAACGTGCCATGAAGCAAGAAGGGGTTTTGTGCTCTGGATCTGAGCTTGCCTCAACCAGATCACTAAGCCAAGCCCAGCCCAGACACACACTGTTCCCAAGGAGCCCCGCTCTGGGGCAGGAGATGACTGATGCCAGGGGCATGAGCAGACCCTGCCTGGTGCAGGGAGACAGCAGATCCCACAGACCAGCTGCACTGCCCAGATCCACCGGCTCAGGAGGGATTAGATGTTCCTGTAAGCGAGGCACTCAAGTGCCAAGGTGATGGATGAGGCACAAACACACAAGGCAGGCAAACACACACCAGACTGTGACAAGTGTGAAGATCCCCTCACGCAATGCACCAAGCGCTGCTTAATTGCCTGCAGAAACAAGGGTACCCTGGGACAATGCTGGGATGATGCTTTTCAAACATCACCAGCTTCACCAGACATGATCCAACTGTCCCTTTGGTTACCACGGTGCAGACATGGGGTGGCCTCACTGCACCCCAAGGAAGGGAGCTGAGCCCCAGCTGTCCCTGGCAGCCTCCCCAGTGCTGTGAGTCAGCCATTGCCATGGGCAAGAGTGGGAGCAGGGTGCTGGGGAGAACGGGTTTGACAGGCACTGGCTGGGAACAGCTTGGGCAGGTGGGGTCAGCAGCCACCTCCTGCAGGCCTTCTAGAGACGTCAGCATCAAATAAAGGCTTTGCCAAGTACCTTCATGCTGCCGGGGTGTGGATTCTCGTGTGGAGACCGGAGACCCTCTGTGCAAGTGGCTGCCAAATGCCGTGCTGTGCCCTGCCTGGTGGTCCTCATAGGAGAGGGCACTTTGGTGGGGCTTGCCCGGCTCAGGTACAATCACAGGAGCCCCTCTGGCAATGGAGCCACCCGAGTTTGTCACTGGGCTTGGCCTGTTTTTCAGGCTCTCTTCGTAAGCTCTCTCCAGATTCCTCGGGTCTTGGATGACATCCAGTGAGTGCACAGAGTGAAAAGTCCTGCCGGGACTGCCGATGATGGACCGCACATCGTGCTTTTTGGTACTCGAGGAGGAAGAGCTGCTGTCGTACTTCAGTGGGGTACCCTGGGGACAGAAGAAAGGGGGGACATCAAAGGGATGCAGAGCAGAAGGGGATCCAGCAACCGCATCCCACCAACTTCCAGTGGGATTCGCGCTTCCTCATTCAGTGGGCCAGTACCCAGCTTTAACTTGGTCAAACGGCAGCAACCATCAGCAAAGCAGAGAGAACAGCCCCACAGAGCACAGGGCAGGGTGGAGCGCCCATCCTGCATGTCTCGGTGTGCTCCAACAAGATGATGATGAGTCAGTGCTGAAGGCTGGCTGTGCCCATCACGCCTCTCTCCTACACACACTGCGAAACGAAGTAGGACTACAAGGTGCCATGGGAACCCTCCAAATATTTGGAGCCCAACAGGAGACAGCGTGCCATGTTTCACCCTAACTACTGGCCTTGCTGGGTTGACACTTGCCCATAAAGGGAGGAGACCAAGATTATGTGCACCCAGAGTCCAACTGCCAAGGGCAATGAGTTGACTCTGGCCTTAAACAAATGCCAAAAGCATCCCCTTCCGTGTACCTATGTAGATAGAGCACTGCATTCTTAATGTGCCAGGGGGGGCTGAGCTCCTTTCCTGAGTTTTTTATTTATCTGCTAGGAAGGATCATAGGATGATCTGGATTGGAAGGGACCCCATCAAAGGATGTGGAAGAGCAACCTGTACCCAAGCAGAGACTCAGTTCTGACCAGTGATGCGTTTGCAACCCGAAGGCCTTGCAACTCCCTTTTGACCTTGGGAATGGTCCCCAGGGTCTGTGTGAGGACAGCAGCCTGAGCAGGACCAATCTCATCTGCTGTTTACCCCATCCTCACCTGCGTGATGGAGCCTTCCTTCAGAGGTCTCGTCAGAGAGATGTCTGGTGTCCGCCTCAGCTCCTCCCGCGGTATCTCATGGATTGATCTTCCTGCTTCTTTCACTGTGGCCACCAGGTCTTCATGGGCTGGTTTCATTTTCAGAGGTGTAAGGCCCTCGTGAGACCTGACCTTGTAGGCATCAGATAAGTCCCTCGGTGGAGTGTTTTCCCTCTTGAGCTGTTTGGCTTCTCTTCTGAGGTAGTCCTCATGAGCCTCCACGTAGGACCGAGGTATTCCTGCAACCCCCAAGCAGATGATGGATGCAGAGGGTGCTTCAGAGTTCAAGGGGGTTTCAAGTTAATGCATGTAACTCAGGGACTGGTACCCAACTGAGTACACAGAGCAGCTACATCACTAACGCAGCTGGACCACCTCACATCTACCACCACTTTCCAGACCCATTCTGCACTAGTTTTAGACTGCCTTCATGCCAGTCACCCCTGACTTTGGTGAGAGCTTAGGCTGCTAAAAGCTGAACAAGACTGAGAATCTCTGAGCTGAGAGTGCAGAGATGTGCAGCTGGACTTTGATGGGTCCAACCTTGTTTCCTCCTAGCCTGACAAGAGGCCAAGCACGTGAAATACCTCCCCACATTACCTCTGGCCATGGCCATCTTCTACTTGCAGGATTTACCTTGTGTAATTGAGCCCCGCATGTGATGCTGCTCCTTTAGGTTATGGGGACTGTGTCGGTCTGGAGGGATTGCTCGACCCATGAGACCTAGAACAGATCCAAAGGAGAAAGCTGGGTTGATACAGGAGTTCACTGACAGCAAACATACAACAGTGTTACCAGGGACTCCTGGGACAACAAGGAAAACCATCAACAATTGCTAAATTATTTCTCTTTCAAAAAAATGTGATTCCCTTTTTTTATAGTCCTGACACTGGTCTGCCAGGGCAGGAACCAAAGGCAAACAGGCCAGTCTGTGCCCCTTGGTTTTCCATACTGGTCAGATGCTGTCCTGTTGGGATGTGCCGCAGGGTACCAGTGAACCACTGCCAAAATACAGACATGAGAAAGTGTATCATGTAGACAAGAGGCAAGATGGTGTCTCTGAGAGTCACTAACACAGCACGGGTGAAAGGTTCCACCCAGACCCACCTTCAATGTTGGCAGATAAGCTATCACGGGCTGATAAGCCCCTGCTGATCCTCCCCTCCATCATATCGTAGGTCCGCTTGGTTCCTGTGGTCTCATGCAAAGCTCCTGAGCTCCTGCTGTCTTCTTTGGGACACTGAGAAGCAGCAACCCCACCTGGGGAAGACAACACCAAGGCGCACCATCAGGAGCATGGAAATTCGGCACCAGCCATGGGAGGGTGTTCACTGCTGCTTGCGTGTGTTGCTGGAAGGTCAGATCCCATCCCAGCACACCAGCAATGCCAGAAACATCACACAAGGTTGGCTTCCAAGAAATTCAGCTGGTGTTTTCTCCCCTCCCTGCCTGTCTCAGACTCCAGATCTGTGCCTCCCGTGTGGGTAGGAGCATCCGCCCTGCTGCATCCTGCTCCCTCCATCCCTGGTGGGGAAGCAGCAGGACAGCCTGGAGCCAGCGTGGCGCTGGTGTGAGCAGCTGCGGTTCCACTGAACTCGGCCCTGTGGGTCGGGGGATCTTTATTTCTTTTTCCCCTGTTTGTTTTGGTTTTTGCTAGACACCTACTGTTTGGGATCCTGGCCAGCCTTCACATTCACTGAGACACTCCCTGGGTGAGAAAATCAGGGAAAAGGGGGGAGAAGCAAAGCTGAGAACGATTCCTTTGAAACAGCAGTGAGCGCCCAAAAGAACTGGGAGAGACAGTGAGGACTGATGGAGCAAGCACTCGTGATGGGAGATCACCACCTACCTCTTCATCTGAACCTGGAGCAGATTCTTCTGCAAACAGTGGACACCTGACCTGAGCTACAGCCTCCACCACTCCCAGCACAGCCCTGCCCATGCCAGGCAGCATCTCGCCCACCCTGGGCCATAGGCATCCATCATGCGCAGCGAGCTGTGAATTTAAGCAGTTTCTGATCCAGCTGAATGCCTCCTGGTTATGTAATGAGCTCCAAGAGGGAATTTTGGCTTGGAAAGATAAAAAGCTCTGCCCATCATCCGTGGCCAGGCTGCCCCTGCCAAGGATTGCCAGTGCCTTGATCGTCCTCTCTGTGGGCAGAGAAGGTGGTTATACAATTAGAGAAAATGGGGAAGTTAAAAATACTCATCCCACTGTGGACGATCAGGAACAAAAGTCCTCCTTGGAAAACCAGGAATTAATAAAACGGGATTCTTACAACTTCACACCTGCTACTGGTTCCCGCAGCCAGCACCCACTCAATCCCGGAAGTGTTTGGGGCTGCAAGAGGGAGATCTGACCCTGAGCCTTCACTTCACATTCATTCTACAGGAGAAATCTGGGGGTGACACTGAGAACCAGCCAAGCACCCTGCGGCAGACACAGGGCGATGTGCCCGCACCCTGTCATCAAGGCACATCTGCTGCCAACAGCCCTTCTGCAGAAGGGGCCGCGGTCCCTGCACCCTTTGTGCCACTGGGAAGCAGGGGGGGTGCGAGGGAGAAGAGACTAAACAGAAAGAAAATCACTCCGAGCCCACGTCCCTTGCCTTGCAGAAGCCATCAGCAATCATATGCAGAATGAGAATAACCAATCTAGCACAATTCAGCTTGCACATGCTACAGGATCTCGTCTCATTACAGCTCTTTTATTTTAAGCACCCTCATGACACTAAAGAATTTGCAATTTTTTTTCTGCTTGCCAAAATTCATAATCACCAACAATTTCAGTTTTCTTATCTAATTTTTGTTTAACTCTTCCTCACCGGGCTGTTTGGGGGAAGGAGAGAGGCAGCAGGGCTGGCAGAAGCACACAACATGACTCAGGATGCGATAAACGCTGTCAAGCATGTAAAAGGCTGCCTGTGGAGAGGAAGGAATTAATTCCTCGTGTGTGTCCAAAGCAGGTAGGATGAGGGCCATGGGTTCAGGCTGCGGATGAGGAGACTGGGGCTGACACTGACAAGTGCATGCAACGGGGAAGGGTTTGGTCTGCCCATAGCGGGACCCCAGCTCTGGGCACAGGGAGTCCTCACTGCTGGGAGCCTTCCCTGTCTCTCCCCTGATAGCACCACTTCTGAGATCAACCTCATTCGACTCCAAGCTCAGGCAGAGGAGTTTAAAATAGCTTCTTGCACAAACAAGTCCTGAAATGCTTCCTGCGTCCTCCCTGGTCCGAGCCCTGCCAACTGTCCCAAAGGGCGCCCAGACACAAGTCTTCACAGTGACACTTCTTATCTGGGCTAGAGTTGACAGTGAACGTGGGCAGGCATGGGACAAACTTGTTTCCATGTGGTGGGTGAGAGGCATGGCACAGAGCCCTGTCCTGAAAGGTCCCTGTGGTCCCAGGGCACACACAGAAGGGGCATCAGCCAAAGCTTGTGAGTTGTCCCCAGTGGTCTGACCTGAACCCTCTGCTTCTGGCCTTGGATGAAACAAGCCTGTAATGAAACCAGCTGCCTGCGCCTGTGGGCAAGAGGAAAAGGTCTCCTGCTGGACAGCCTCTGCCTGCAGGACTGACCACAGGGCCTAACAGGGATGCTCTGCCCCAGGGAGGGATGCAGCCATGCTGGGGAGGGAGGCAAAGGGTTCAGGCAGCACAGCAGCTGACCAGAGATACCTGCTGAGGCAGGCGAGCACAGCAGAGGTTAGGATCGGTTCCTCAGTCACCCCCCCATTCAGTTGAGAGGTGACACAGGAGGAGAACCATCCCTGTGCACACCAGAGCACATGCCAGTATTCTACCCCAAGATGACATGGGGCTGCAGTGTCTGTAACTCAGCTCTTCCCAACCCCAGCCATGGGCAAGGAGGAGGCCAGCTCCACGCCAGTGATGCCCCATGCAGCACACAGCGAAGGGCAAGCACACAGGAGTTGTTTCCAGCTTCACTAGAGAGGAACATCTGCTTATCTCTGATGGAGCTGCTGGGACACATGGAGCAGCTTTGATGGGCAGTGCTGTGATCAGATGAGCAGGCACAGAGGAGGCAGGAGCAGCTGGTGAGTGCGGCTGATACCACTAATGCAGCCAGGCACCAAGGCAGCCCATTACCGTGCAGCAGGGCTGAGAGCTGCAACATGGCTTTTAGGTCTCTCCTGAGCCCCCTCAAGAGCAGCCCAGCATCAGGCTCAGTTGCAGGGTCTGCCTTGCTATAGCCTACTCCCCAGCTGGGCAGGGTCAGCCTGTAACAAGTGACACTGTCTGTGACAGGCCCAGGAGGATTTCTGCAGGGCACCCTCACACTGGGAAAGCTGTGCCCAAGATGTTGCAGAGGAGAATCCGATGTGTGAATAAACCTTTATGCCAGACTACCTGACTTGCCTCCAACTTGCAGGTTCTTGAGTCCCATCTTGGCCTAAGAGCTTGGGGATGGTTTCCTAATGTTTTTGCAGAGTCTCCCACAGAAGGTGCTAGGGATGAAGGCAATACCTTCCCATCTGGTCCTCCCCTCTCTCCCAGTCCTCAAAACCAATGCAAACCAGAGACATCACGCCCCTGCTGGCCAGCAAAGCCACCTCCAAGGCAAGATAACCACATGGGACAGAAGGAAACCCAGCCAGGCCATAGACAGGAGGGGTGGGAAGGGACAGAAACGATGCTGGAAGCAAAGACGTGAGGCTGGCATGTTGCACTTTGTCAGCCTTTCCTCAAATAGCTCCCAACTCCCAGCCACGGCAGCACAAACCCCTGGCGCCTGCCCTAAAAAGGCAGAGGATTACGACTTACCCTCGAAGGACAGCACGTGGCCCTTCTTCCCTTCGTAGATGACATGTCCTTTGGGCACAGCATCCTCTCTTGCCTTCTCTGCTCTGCTGGGGCTGTCTTCTCCGATTATCCTGGTAATGGTTCCTTTGTAGAGCACTTCTGCCGGGGTGCCCTTGGAAAGCCACCAAGATCCATATTTAACAGTGTCACAAGCAATTAAGCAAGCGCGCGCGCAGGGACAGGCTGTTCCCCGCGGGAGGCTGAGTGGAGGGCGAGCGCGCCCAGCCTCCGCTTCCTGGCACAGCCAACAGCGAGGGACCTGCAGCTTAATTATTGATGAGGATGATAACGAGGAGCGGTAAAGAGGTACGTGATCTGTGCGAGGCTGCTGGGAAGAGGCAGGGGGGCTGAGGACAGCACAGACCTCCAAAACAGCAGCTCTTTTCACTACGCGTGGTTTGGAGTAAGCTACCTGCATCGCTTCCACCCTTGGGTCTGGGGAGACAGGGCAGCTCCTGGGGACACCCTGGTGACAAAAAGCACTGCTCAAGTGTTAGGGTTTTTCCTATTTGCAACCTGTTTTTCCTACTGCAGCCTACTTCCCCAACCTGGTAAAGGAGACACGGAGATGTCCTGCCTGCCCAGGGCACATCTGCTGGCAGCAGGAGTGACCTTCAGAGCGCTGCCTGCACACGGGAGCTGGTGCTGGCAGCACGCCTGCGTGAGATGACAGGCATCAGCGAGAGCAGTCCTGGAGCAGGTCCGGGACAAAACCTGCCGGTTGGCTCTCCAGCAGAAACGGCTCCTTACACAAACTGGTGTGAACCGAAACCTCTCCTTCCCTGGAGGCACACACAGACACGGCTCACAGACACCTGCCCCCCCTTTAATGCCCTTCAAAACACTCAGAACTAGATGCCCTTGAAGCCATTGCTGGTGATAACACCCCTCTGCCATCACCTGCTGGTGTGAACCCTCAACAGCCACTGTAGGGTGATGGGCCCACACCCCATTGCAGGGAAGGCATAGCCATGCTGTCAGAGAGAAGCTTTTGACTGCTCATTTAACCCCACCAAGCCCCAGGACTGATACTTATGGGAAGCCTCAGGGAAGGGATATCCCAGCCAGCTTTGCTGGTGCTTCCAGGTTGTGCCAGTGCAGGCTACTCCCCCACCCCAGCTTGGAGATGCTGCTGGTACCAAGCCCTAGAGCACCAGCAAGTTCCAAAACCCTGCCAGAGCTACCGGGACATGCCAGCATCCAGGTTCAATGCTCTGATAGTTCACCCTTGCAGCACATCCGGTAACGGCTGTCCCAGCTGGCTCTCCCAGCCCCAGGTAAGTCATCTTCCTTCCGTGGACGTGCTCAGAGGGGATTTGAAAGCAAGTGATGACAGATGGCTTCAGAGCAGAAAGCATATATTCAAGATCTGCTTTCCGTGAACTGGATGACTAATCTGAGATCAAATATCAGCTCTGGGAGCTCCTGCCGGAACAGGGGGCTCCTTCTCCCCAATGGGAGCAGAGGGATGCAGGCTGCGGGGCCAGCAGGAGAGACAGGTAATGCCCTGGGTCTGGGCTTGGTACCTTAATGCCAAGCCAGACAAAAGGAATCTAGATGGATTAATTAGCTGGATGCAAAACAGCATCTCAACAAACTGCTCATCTCCTGAACTCTGGCACGTGGTGCTCAAGAGCCTTCCTGCCCACCCACTGCTGCCCATAGCTGCTGCAGGGGCATATGAGAGGATGAAGCACAGTGTTTGCTCTGATGGGTTATTTACAGCCCCCGAGGAGCTGCTCCTGGCAGCTGCTGATGCAGGGCACCAGGCAAGTGAAGCCTTTGCTCTGGGCCAGGATTCAGGATCACGTCCCCAGGGCCCAAGGGAACACGGCCACCCTCCTTGAAGGAGACAGGCAGAAATCTCAGCGTGAGTGGCTTTAAATATCTGAGTGATGGCCAGATAAAATCCCCACAGGAAAAGGATTTTTTCTGTTGTTAATGCTCTCCTCTCTGTTACCGTGTGAGCAATAACTCACACTGCAAAACGCTACCTCCCGCTTGCCAGCTGCTCTTCCGAAGATGGATGGTGCAGATTAAGGCCAAACTATCTTCCTGCTCAAGAGAGCCTCTGGGCAGGACCTTCAGTGCAGCATGCTCAGCCCTGGCAGGAGACCTCTCTACCTTACATGCACCTTGGATTCTCCTCCTCTGCTCTGCCTGTTCTGATCCTCCACCCATGTCCTCCTTCCTGTGCCACGCACTCAGTGCACCCCGCAAACCCCAATCCCCGTGTGCAGCACAACCTGCAGCCACCAGCACCCAGAAAGCAGAACCCACCAGAGACAAGGGACCTACATGTGTGATGGACCCTCGGTAGGTGATGGGGGACTCTGGAGGGGGTCTGGATGTCGGTGTTCCCTTGGTGATGCTCCCTCCTGAGGCAGAGCTGAGGGAAGTACCTGTAAAATACAAAGGCAGTGAGCTGGGGGCTGGATTTGCTGTTCAGCACAAGAACTGCGGGGCTCAGACAACAGACTAAGTGCAGGATTCAACCCAGTCTAAGTGAGCTGAGGTTCTGGAGGGAAAGCTCTCCAAGGAATGCCAGTGTTAAATCCCACGCCTTGCAGAGCCCTTTCCACCCCATTCCCCAAGGGACCCAGCCCTGCAGGCATAGGCTGGGAGGTAGGAAAAATGGGCATTTTGAGACTATCAGCTCCCTGCTGCCTTTGTGGAGGGGCCGGGCAGATTTATGAGCCTGGGAGAAAGCACAGCCTGTCTCAGCCTCCCCTGATGGGATCAGAGCAGATCTCCAGCGAGATGAGGCTTGGGGTGGTTTGAGTTCATTTGCGTGGATCCGTCCTGGGTTGGAGGCAGCCCCACTGCACTGAGGCTTCTGACTGCCGTAGTTGTGGGGCTCACAAATCAGAATCTGCACTTAAAAGCAACACCTTTGCATTTATTTTCTTCTGCCTAGCTAACGGGGAAAGAAACATGGGAGGGATGTATTTAAACAAAATGTGGTCCCTGCCCAGCTGCAGCAGCACCAGTGAAGAGCCTGAAAAAAATTAATGGGATTTAAGCATGTCTTGCTTTGTCTTAAGCAACAGATTTGTGGGTTGAACGTGAAACCTCCACCAGGATCAGTGCCCAAGAGCCTGATTTGGGGAAGATCTGTACAAACCCCTCTGCCACAATGCTGGAGAGAAAGAGTGAAGGGACCCCTCCTGCTGTGCACAGCCCCAGAAATCAAACCTGAAAGCACAGGGCAACTGCAGCCAGCGTGATGCTCACCAGGCTTGGCAGTGCCAGCATCCCTCCCATCCCACTTCTCGCGCTTCCCGCTCCTCACCCCGCAGGATGGAGCCCTCCTGGGACGGCTGCAGAACCAGACTTTCCGGCTGGCTGGCCTGGCTTCTAGGAGAAAGTTGTTCCTGCTTTACTCCAGGAAAAGGCACTGGAAAACAATAACCATGTATCAGGGTAGGTGCAGGGCAGAGGGTCGCAGCCCTCCGCTGCTCCAGGCATCTGTGCCAGCCCTGCACTGGTAACTCCTGCCATCACCACCTTTGGAATGGGCTTCACCAAGGATGCAGCAATAGGCTGAATACACAACTACTGATAAGCAAAGCCAGATCCTTCACCTTGGCAAAGGCACTGCCTGGTGCTGCCAGCGCCAGGACCAGAGCTGACACTGAAAACCCAGTAGTGGTTTATAACAGGGCCATGTGCACAGTGGGGAATAGGGCCTGTATCCCTCCTCCCTCACACTTAGTCCTTCACTCATCCCCTCCTGCTGTTAAACACTTCCAAATCTGCAGACTAAACACTTTCTTTGTTCACTTCAGGCCATTTACTCTTTATCCTACTGGCCTGGGGAGCAGCAATATATTTCCTTCCTTCGATCACAGTATTAGCTGGAGGGTATTTATAGGCTGGGATGTGTCCCTGGCTGAGTTGCTGCTTTCCTATACCGCACAAATTTAGCTCCCTGTGTCTCTGCTTTCCTGAGGGACTAATCCTTTCATCCTCTTAGCAGGTCTCTCTGCACTTCATTGCTGTGTCCTGTGCTCTTCTTTCCTGCATGCTGCTGGCAAGTTCGCTTCCCAGGGCTCTCCAAGAAACCACTCACCTCCCAGTCCCTTACCCAGTTTCTTGGGATCCATGGTCAGTGGCAGGCCCATGGTGATCGAGCCAACAGGGACCTTGGCGTGCTCGGAGCTGTAGGGTGCATGGAGCTGGATGGGCATGCCCTGCAAAGCGAGAGAAGAGGTCAGGAGCTGCTGCCATCCCTGCAAGGCATCTCCACCACTCACACCCAATGCCCTACCTGGGAAATGGATCCAACGGGTCTCTCCAGCACAGAGGGGTGCTTGGTGGAGGAGATGAGGGGAGGAGGGTTGGAGATGCTTGCTAGTCTCTGCAGCCCTGAGCGAGAGCTCTCATGCAGGTTTAGTGGGATGGGGTGTCCTGTGTGGAAAACACAAGTGTTAGCAAGAAAGAGGGCAGGCAGAACGGCTGCAGCTATCAGAGAGGAAAGGGGCGAGGGAAGGAGCAGGGGCTGGATGTGATGAACTGGCTGGCTGTGAGCCTGCGCTGGGATCCAAGTCACACGATCGTTTTGGAAAGGACTGCAATAGTTTCAGTTACTGCCTTGTCCCCTGTGCAGCCAGAGGATGTGCTGCGCCTGACCCGTCTGCCCTCCAGCCAGAGCAGGACAGTGCAGCGAGGGGTGAAACCTGCCTGACCCTGCGCAAAAGCAGCGTGCGGAGCACCCACAAACCAACCACATCCCTAAACCTGCCCTGGTCACAGCTGAGAGACCTGACTGGCACCCTCAGACCGCTGCATTAGCAGCGAGGGCGCTCCATGCCAGGCCAAAGCAAGGCACTGGCAGGTTTCTGAGGAACCCTCTTCTCTTACCCCCCCTAAAAGCTGCACTGGTTTAAGATCAGCAGCTGTGATAGTAGCTGCAACCTCCACCCTCAGCCCCAGGGGAGGACAGAGGGCACACACTATGCAGTCAGTGGCTGTTACTTGCCTGGTGGGTTGTACTGAAACAAGTGGGGCTCTGCCTGGGGAGAGGTTTTGATCACATCCCGGGAGTAGGACAGGACGGGCGGCCAGCACGAGGCAGCCATCGGCTCCACACTCAGCTTCTGAGCCTCTGCGATGGAGGAGAAATGCACAGACTTTTCTGCAAGGGAAACAGAAAGCGAACAGCTTGCTCAGCAACCCCATGGGCAAGCATTCCCTGCAGTCAGGGAACCCACAGCCAGCATCCAACATGGGAAATGGCTTCAGTTCAGTCTGAGCTGGCCATGAGGGCTGAAACCACCAACCAAGCTAAACAAAAGCCTCGGTGTCATTGCCTGGATTTGATAGCATTTATTTTACTGAGATGCTTAAAGCCCAGTGGGGAGGGCAGATGTCCAAGTTGGTGATTCTGCTGGTGCTCACTGCCAGCCTGGACCTCCATGGACATCACACCCAGGAGAGACTATATTCCGCATGCAACCAGTCACTGGGATGAGCCCAACATCCAGCTCCTCGCCAGGGCATGGTCACATGCAAGCCACCCCCTGGGCAGCCTGCACCTGGGCCCACAGGTCTGCATCAACCACCAAGGCAGGGCTGGAGGGATTAGTGAGGATCCTGCCACTCCCTTCATGATGCTAAAACCAAAAGGCACCAGTGCTGGTGTGGGATACCTGGCAGGCACCTGCACACAGCCAGGCACAGGGTGCCTGAGGAGCCCCAGTCCACTGCCAGGGACCACAACACACTGGGAACAAGCTCATCCCCACATCACATCACGATGCAAAAGCTCAGCTGCTCTTAAAGGATGGCTGCTGGCTATAAATCATTTGTAAGCTGCAGGAAGTGATCAGAAATAATGGCATCAGCGTCTTGGACAGCAAGGGGATAATGGGCTGATGTTCTCTGAACACCTGGGACAACCACACTGTACAAGACTGCCAAAGGCAAACAGAGATCAAGATGGGCTCTGCAGGATGACCAGATGCTCTGTGGGGAGCAGGCAGCTTGAGGGTCCTCTGCAAGGCACCGGGGTGAGGGGCAGGAAAGCTTCCTGAAATTATATGGCTTAGGATATACCGGATGCCAGGCTGGGTTCACCCTGGCAATGAAAAGGCTGAACAGAGGCCAAGAAGTACTTAATAATGGAAGAGCTGTGCTGGGGATGCCCAAGCCCTGCCATGCTCTGCAGGGTGCTGGGGAAAAGAGGGCTTCATCTGCACCAGCTCCATCCCAAGTACATCCTCATGCTTTATTGAGCAGACAGATGAGACAGCCTTTTCTGGATGGATTAGAAGCACGTTTGGTGGGATCTGTTTGTAGTCGATAACCACTTAATTCTGCATTGCCCTTCTTGCCCAGATCCACCTGTGTAACGTCTGCATTGACCAGAAATTAGAAACTGGGCAGTAAACAATAGCAATCACAAATGAAGCCAGCCTTTAACCATCAATTTTTGATAAAAATAGATGCCTCAATCCTGCTAAGCCTAATAATAGGGCAAGTAGATTATCAGAGGCCCAATTTAATGAGGCTTTACTGCATTACCGTTATTAACGCTCGGTGTGCTCAGAAGCTGAGAGATTATTCTTGTCCCCTTCACTGAGAGAAGAAATCCATTATCAGCACACAAAGGTGTCCAGGCACTCACACCTCTGCAGCCTGGCAGGGCTGGACCTTGGCTGCAGCCTCTTCTCTCCCCACGCTGGATCCTAGCGAGGATCCTTTCGTCCTGCCAGTATGGGGGAATAGAGGCACGTCCTCCAGACTGACACAGACTCCCTGGCACATCCACGCTCCCTGGTTTTCCCCCCTTCAGCTCAGCCTCACTCACCCCTGCACAAACAGCACTGGGATGGCCCGGCTGAAGATGCTCTCCGATGCCAAGGCCCTGTCAGCCAAGGCTACGTGCACACTGGATGGCTCTTGGAGAGCCCCATCCTCCTCCCTTCCCCACGGGAGCCATCCCCTCCCCTGCATGCCTCTCTCCTGCCTGTGAAATGTGTCCAGTTCCTAATTGCCCCCGCATTAGAGGGTGGCTATAACTCAGCCAGCTTTTGATAAAATAGCACTTACAGGGAGAAGAGAGAGTTCCTATTACCGTTTATCAAGCCCCTGGAATGGGAGCGAAGGAGTCAGAGTTTATATGATCCGTCATCCAAATTAATGCTCTTGGCTCCCCGTCGCCCACAAAGGCCAGATGAAACACGACAAAATCAACACAAAACATACCGCTGCCTTTCAAACCGCCGATAACCAAAGATATGCCCCACGGCGGCTCGGCAAAGGGAAAAGGGATCCGGCTGCCTGCGGGTGAGATCCAGGCAGGGCTGCCTCCGCCTGGCCCTGCGATTAGCAGCTCATCTTGGGAGGAGGAGAGGGCAGTGCTCAGGAAGGTACGGCTGGGGCTGGCTGCCCTCCAAGCCGATAGAGCCCCAGCCAGCGGCTGCGAGGCAGCCAACGCCTCGGCCAGGATGTGTGCAAGACTTGGCTTTGAAGCGGATCCAGAGCGGTGAGGAGGATGTTGATCTCTGGAGCAGTTGCAAGAGTTCAAGCTCTCCTATTGAGCAGGGGAGGAACGGGAGTACCTGCTCCGGGGGAGCTGACCCCTTGCTAGCAGGCAGCAAGGGGCTGCTCTCCTGAAGGCTTTGCCTGTTAAACATGAGGTGGTGTGGCTGCATGATGTCCGCAGTCTGGATGCTTGCCACTTCACTGGGACGCCTCAGAGAGCAGGGGAGGGAAGGGACATACACAGATTTGCCAGGACTATCTGGCCATCTCCCCTCTGATCCTTGATCCACAGCTGGGATGGGCTCCAAGAAGCTGAGACAGCACTGAGCAACTCCTGAACTGAAATCAGGGCTTCAGGGGATTTGATTTCTCTCCTTGAGGTGATTCATCACAGACCTGCTCATTTTCAAACGGGAGATGCACTCCCATCACAGAGAAGAGCAGCCTAAGATTTGCTAGGGTCCACATGTAACCCAGACCTGCTGTGGTACCCAGCGCACGTGCACAGCTATGCAGGGTTTGGACATCACAGAGCTGGAGCCCAAGACCTGCTGAGATGTTTGCAGGGGTACAGGGAGGAAGAATTAGTTTCACTAACATGCACAATTCAGAGGACTACAGAGGTATGAGAGAATAAAATGTTTCAAGCCAATGGTGCTTTGCAGACAAAGCCATAAAAAATCCACCCAGACAATCAGACCCTTGCATATAATAATAGTGCCAAAAGGTTGCAGAATGACATGGTTCATTTCCAAGCCTTAAACCCTGCCTTGTACCTAACACACACACAGAGATTTGCCTCATCTCATCGTCCTGCAATCAGGAGGAAGCTGCAGCACTGGGACACCAACAATGCTGACTACCTGCTGCCAGGGGAGAAGAGCTGGAGGGGAACTGTTCCATCTGGGTAGCAAACCCAAGCACGGCAGGTTGAGATCAGCTGGAGGTGGGACTTCATGGGTGGCAACACCAGGACTCAGTGGAAACTCCCTTTCTTGCCAGGTGAGCAAGCACCTCTCTTCCTTATATGCAAAACATCCTGGAGGTGTGATGCACACATGGCAATATTTATTGTTTAAAAAAAACCATTTGGTCAAGTGCCAGCAAGCAACTCTTCCGGCAAGCATGTCACTCTGTGCAGAGGGACAGGACAGCTTGGGGAATAAATACCTGGGCCTGGACACTGTAGGGCAGGCTGCTGTGATCCTGCCTGCCTGAGGGTGAACTAGTGCAGCAATCTTCCAGCAAAGATCACAGCCCAGGTCCAGTGGAGATCTGCCTCATCACTGCAGTATTATCCACCTTCCACCTCCATGTATTACAGCTGCATCCATCCCCATGCAGGATCCAGCACTGGGGGGTATTGCACCCCACCCTGCCCAACTTCCCTGCTCCTCTGATCATGCTACTGGTGACAGCATCTCCACACACAACTGAACCACAGGCTGGCTATGAGGGGCAGGGACAGAGAGTCTGAACTGGAACAGACTCTGATGCTCAGATTAAAAACACATTTAGAGGATGGTCTCATTAGGACTTCCCGTCTCTCCCTAACCTTGATCCCCAGGTGCTCAAGCTAATAATGCTTCAGATGCTCTACGGTGGGAAACTCTGAATTGCTCATTAGGCAGCCAAACCACATCAGAGCTATTCCGGGGAGAAAGCACTGGGAATCTTTACAGGAACCTTTGGACTCCGAGTCACAGTATTAGCATTGATTTTAAATGAAATAATGGTCCCCACTGAGCATTAAAAGCATTCTTTATAGAAAGCCAGCAAGGTAGAAAAGAGCCATTGTACCCAGAGCCCTGGCATGCCTCCAGGCCCCTCTGCTCTCAAGTGAATGGCAGAGCCGCTAATAAAGGCAATCTTCACCTCCTCAGCGCTCGACACTAGCCCCGTGTTTGCTGTAGGCTCAGTGAGACATCATGTACTGTCTAATGAACATGGGAAATTAGCCATGCCTCTCTCGTCCTGCTTCAAGATGCTATTAAAGGGCTTTCAAGGCTTGAAGCAAGCTTTCACCTAAGAGGAGGAGAGCTGCTGGCTGCGCACAGCTGCACACGCTAGGTGCTGCTGTGCGGATGAACGTGCACATCTCCCTTACCTTCCTTGTCACCAACAGCGGGGCTCCTGCTCTTTCCCCTGGGACTGCTGCTTGGCTGCTGCGGCTCCTTCTCAGCCTGCTGCTGCTGGGACTGGGAGAGCTTGCTCGGGGGTACGTCCTCACGGGCAGACTCGTGGGCTTTTGTGATCTGCTGCTGGTAGAGGGCCAAGGCATGGGGAGGCACCTGAGGCTTCACACTTCCACTCTGCAGTATCCCCTCCGAGAAACCCTCGGAAATCTGCAAAGCAATATGAATTGGTGACACTTGGCACGTGCTGCTGACACCCATAGCAGTCCTGGAGACATCAAGGTGTCACGAGAAGCACCTGCCCCACACTAGCACTTCAAGTCTTACCAGCCCAACAAACAGGGCTTCAGAGCTCACCAGCCATCACATAAGCGTATAAGCTCTGTGCTGGTGATGCTACAAGAGAGCCTCACACTTCCCATGTTTAAAACCTCTGATCTATAGTTAAGTGCTTGCAGCTTTTGCCAGATGTTACACTACAGCAGCCACATCTTAAGCTTTAACATGGGAAACTGGAAGAGCATCAGGAATGGATCCTCCCCGAGTGCTCAGAACCCAGATTTCCTCTCTGCCCACCCCGTGCTGTTGCTCCTCTGGTGTAGACCCTGGGGATACCAGGGTGCTTTTGTCACAGCCTAAAGCAGAGCCTCTGGATGAGGAAGAGCATAAACACTTCTTAGGCAGTTTCCTTCAAGCACACAAGATGAAGAGAAGCAGAAGGAAGGTGCACCCTTGCTTTTTAAAGCAACGGGAGGCAGCAGTCATGTGGCAATGAGAAGCTTTTTCTGGCCAGACCTCCCACGACTTTCTGATCAAAGAGCTCAAGGGACATCCAAATGCTGCTGGCAGAGCTGCTCCAGCAGCTGGGAACACACTCGGCACAGACAGCACCTTGCCTGCTAGGGAGCTCACGCTGCCCAGAGGCACGGCTCTGTGCAGACTATGAGCTTGGCCATCCACAGGGATGAGTGTGTCCTTCCAACCCTGCCACACACCATGCAGGCAACACAGCCTGATGGAAGAGCACGCAGGAGGCACACACAGCCACTGTGCTCCCAGTCCCAGCCCTCTCTAATGGGGTACTCACAATGGGAGGGATGGCAGCAGCACGCTGCTTCAGCTGCTTCAGGTCCAGTGGCTTCTGTGGCGAGGAGTTCAGCCTGGCATCGCTGGCAGTGTTGAGCAGGCTGGGCCGGGGGGACAGCAACCTGGACACAAAACATGTACGTCAACCAGGCAGTGCACATGTCCCATTGGTTCCCCATGCCCTGCACCCCTCTGTTTCATGCTGCTTAGCCTAAAGGACACCCTTTTCATCAGAGAGGAATGTGCTGGACCACTGCTCGCTGCTGGGTTCCTGCAGGATGATCTGCCATGCTACCCAAAGCCTGTGGGGACCCACTGCTGCTATGGAGGTGTCTCAACTTCAACCTTGGTGGGCTGCAGCGTCCCCAGGTCATTTTGGTCTATGAGGGCAACACAGCCTGGCCCGGGTAGCACCTGGGGCAGCTGTGCTTTGGGATGACAAGTCTGAGAGGAAGCAGAGAGTGGGATCCTGCTTTCCAAAGACAACCCATGTGGGGCTCTGTGCTCAAGTAAGATCACTACATCTGGCTCATCCCCAGTGCTGACTATTTCTACCAAATCTGCTTCTGTCCACAATAAACCCAAAGGAGAGCTTGAGCCTGGAGTTACAGAGTAGTAAGGCAACCAGTTCAGATTTCACATATGGGCATCACGCTACCTCGCTGGAGCTCACACGTGGTGCTTTCCCAGCACTCAGGATCAGCCTCGGGCTCCTCTTCAAGGACTATCTTTTAACACAGTGCTAAAACCTGGGCAACCAACCACATGCACATGACTGGGGTGCTCAGATCACTTGAAAGATGAGAGGCTGGATTTGGATGGGATTTGATGCTCAGCCCAGTGGCTCTGCAGCCCTGCACCCTCACTACTTGCTCTTTCCCTTGGCTATCTGAGTTGCCTCAAACACTCAGCCAGCCACGCTGAGCCCCTGTGCAAACAGTGTGAGCATCTCCACAGTGTCACTGAAATGGGGTAAGGACGAAGGTGTGTGAAACCAATGGGTCAAACCCTCAGTGTGCCCAGCTCCTGAGCTCACACTGAGACCCCAGGGACCACGTCTCCCCAGACCAACTCTGCTCTCCCTCCCTCCTGTTTGTTGAAGCCAGTTCATAGTTTTCAAGCTTTACAGCTTGATTTGTTTATTTTAGCTGTTATTTCACTGCTCTCTTCAGCCTATAAATTTCAAGGTCATTCCATGCTCACCCTTGGATGAATAAACAAGTGTGGCGGGGCCATGTGCAGGGAATAAACTCATCACGGTGCTGGGACTGCCCCCAGCCCGTGCTCTGCACAGTGGCCAGCACTGGAGGGGACTCACCTCCAGACTGAGACCAGGGTGCTCTCATTAGGCACCCAGGGCAGACCAGGCAAAAGGCAGCAAATCTGAGTTGCTCCCCAAATAACTGCACTGATAAATGCAACATGGGTGCTGTGAAGCCATGCTGTGGGGGACACAGGGCTCCTGCAAGGGTGCAACACCCCGAAGTCTGCTGAGGCACATGGCTGGGGACAATGGCACTTGGCACTTGCTCCTGAGACATTCGCTCCATGCTGAGCTGGTGCTCACAGGAGGTGACCGACCCAGGAGCGCTGGCCCAGCTCCACGTCCCTGTCACTGCTGGCCCAGGACAGATGTGCTCAGCACTGCTCTGCTCACAGCAGTTCTTGCAGGACATGTAGCTGAACAGCTTGATGCTCCAGAGCTGGACAAGCAGGCTCCCACCAGCCCCCAACAGAGCAACCACCCCAGCAGCAGCTCTGTGCATTCATAGTGCTTACAGAGATGCATTTAAGCACACTTAAGATCATCAGGTTTTCTAAAGCCCTCCAGGATCTTGAGCTTAGGAAGCCAGGGTAAGTATCAAGCTCATCAATATGCAAATTGCATAATTTAGTACGTCCCTCCCAGCAGATCCTGCGCTGCACACAGGGCTGTCTGTTGGGTACTTTGCTCTGGGAGTCACCAGATGAACAATCCTCATCACCTCACATCCACCTGATGACAGCAAGGGGCCTCACAGACCCAATGGGTAAGCATGGGTGATAGCAGTGGGAGGGATGGGAAAAGGATTTCAGCAGGAAAGGCCTGGCACATGGCTGAGCCTTTGCAGTGTGGAAACGGACTCTCCAAGGCACAAAGCTTTGGGGGTGACCAGGACACTGCGTTCCCCCACCTCCTTCACCCTCCACCACGGACAAGCTTCACTGCCAGACAAGCCAACACACTGACACATGGCCTGAACACAATTCCTTGCACACACAGCAGTTGTGCAAAGGTGACAGCTACCAGATTTCCCCAATGGGCTCCCCCAACCCAGGGTCACAGCACCAACATGATGCTTGCCCAGCAGAGCCCTTGTACCTATGGCTGTGCCAGTGACCAGGACATATAGTGCAAGGGTGGCTTTGTGCCACGCTTGGTGGCTTGATGCTCACAGGCAGGCATCTCCTATCTGCACTTCAGGTCTGCAGTGGTTGCCCATGCAGGGCCTCCCTCATGTGTCCCCATGTGGTGTGGCCCCCTGCAGAACAGCAGTACCGACAGCACCAGCAGCAGCCCTCGCGCAGCACGCTGCACAGAACCACAGTTAATCAGCTGCCTTCCCCAGCTTTGACGAGTTAAGGCTCTGCCTCCTTACCTTGGACTTGTCTTTGCCAGCGTGAACTGCAGGACTCAAGCAAGGCTGCCCCAACATCACACGCCAACCCTGCACCTTCCCCTCTCACCGCAGGGACAACCCCAGCCACCCTCTGTCCCCTGCTGGGAGATGCTGTGGACAGCTTGATGCCTTCACCAGTGCGGGGAAGCGCTCCCACGCCGTGCCGGCGCGCGGTGGGCGGGCGAGCATCGGGTGATGCGGTGATGGGGCGGCTCACGTGGCATCCCGGCAGCCTGGTCCTGCTCCGTGCGAGTCACACTGCAGCAGCGGGGCTGCGGTACCCGCCCGCGAGCCCTCGGCTGGGGAGAGCATCACCGGGAGCATCAGAACCAGCACTGGTGTGAGCTGCAGCATTCCCGTGCCGCCTGGCTCTGCCATCACCCGTGCTCCATCGCCACGCCGGGTAAGAGGAGTGGCCTGGGAGCTGTGGGATGCCTGTTTAATGTTTAACACTCCTGGAAGCTGGTAACTGTTTGACAAGCGAGATAGGCGCTGACTCAGCGAGGAGCTGGGGATGAAAAAGTCGTTCCCAAGACCTGCTCCTTTGCTGCTGGGAAGTCGGTACAAGCTGCTGCTGTCCTGTTTTTGGCTGGGTTAATGTTAAACTCAAGGAGCACAGCCCCGCTGGCCTCACTCTCCCTTTGCTAGGAGGCTTTCTCCCGTCTGGGAAGGAGGAGAGGGCGGGGAGGGGTGGTGCTGGACTCTGTCCACCACTGGAGAGGAGCACTGCAGCCAAGAGGCCCCAGCCCTGCCATGGGGCCCAGGCCAGCAGCACCCGCACCGCCCCTCAGCATCATCAGCGCTGCTTCCAGCTGCTCAGCAGCGAGGGGCTGCTCATTCAGGGCAGCGTGGAGGATGTTGCTGCACAAGGAGGACTCACCCACTGGCTCCCACATCAATCACAAGGAAAGCATGGAGAACATTAAGAGTGGTGGAGATGCACGATGGCTCCCAACTGCCTCATCCTGCTGCTTTGCTGCGCTGGTTTTCCAAACAGCCCCATCCACAGCACTGAGTACAACCCACCTAGCCTGGCAGCACCCCTCTCACCAATAAACTGCCCCCTGCAAGCCCATGGGAGGGATGTGGGATGCTGGATGCTGCATGTGGAATGCCAGTCTCCAGTCCCAGCCCAGCTCTGAGGCAGGGAGGGACTTTTCCCTGTGTTCAATGGCAAACTCAGGAGTCCCATCTGGCCCAGGAACCAGCACAGATGGAAGCCGGAGCCATTACAAAAATCAGATACATGCATTCATATATATTCTATAGAACCAGGAAATCTTCCTCCTATTTATGAGGCTCTGGGTGGGGAGAGCTCTGTGGGAAAAGCCAGAAGAGAAGAACGCTTCTCCAAGGAGGAGGCCAGTGTTTCACCTCCTTGCCCCAAGAGGCATCCATGAAGGGTCAGAATCACCCTTGGCTGCTGGCTCCAGGGGTGGATGAAGGGCTCAGGACTGCAGTGGCTCAGGTGAATACCTGGAGGCACAGCCCCAGGAAAGCTCACACAGCCCACACCATTCTCCTCCCTTTATGGCCAGGACAGATAATTCCCCCCTACAGATCCAAACAGCATCTCCACCAAGGGAGCAGCTCACCCCCTCTCTGCACTGGGAACACGTCCCTGACGTGACTTCTCTCCTGCCAGCACCGACTCAGAAACCATTCCCAACCCTGGATGCTGGCAAACCAGCCCGTGCTCTGCACAACTGCCGTCCCCAAGGGCACGTCCTGCTCCATTGCGTCACCCGGACGGGCTGCCACCAGCCCTGCACCCAACAGCAGCCCGCGGCCATTGCCCAGGAGTACCCGTACGCTGGGACATCGCACTGCCCGTTGTGTAACGGCCCCTTTGGAAGTGATAGCCAAAGGGTCACAACCACGTAGGGCACAGCCAGGCCTGTCCCTTTGGCTGTGGGAGCCCCTCAACAGCGATATTCCCAAGCTCAGGAGCGTGCATGTGGACAGTGCAGCACGTACAGAGATACTCCTCTGGCCCTGGGCCATGCACTTGCCCACCTCTCTCCCCAGTCCTACCTGCTCTTGTCCACAGCATCCTGCTCGTCCATCTCATCCGCGCTGCAGGTCGCGCTGGAGTCGCTGTCGGGGTTCACCCCGGAGCCTTTACTGCCTTTATGGCTCTCCTTCTTCTCGGCCTTGGGTGTCCCCTCCGTCCCTGCTGTCCCTGCGCCACTGACGCTGCTTTCTGCCTTCTTGTCATTCCCCTTGTCCTTCTCCTGGCTGTCTTCGCTCTCCTCCTTCTTCACCTCGCTCTTGCAGGGCTCTTCGCTCACCTTCTCCTCCGGCTCCTCCGTTTTCACCACGTCCACCACCAGGTCCTCCTGCACCTTCTCCTCGCTGCTGGGTGGCTCGGGAGCTGCCTCCGGCTGCGGGCTGGCAGCAGGAGCCGGGTTGGCAGCGGGAGCGGGGGGAGCGTCGGGGGGTGTTGCAGCCTCTTCCCACTTGACTGCCGGTTCTGTGCCGGAGTCACCTCCCGGCCCGGGTGGTGCCTTGGCCCCGTTTTCGCCTCCTTCTTTGGCTTCAGGCCTCGGCGAGGGAATGCTCTCGGTGTCGGAGCTGTTATTTACTGCAGCTGAGAAAAGGGAAGAAATAAAAATAAGGATCAGCCCAAGATTCTTGCTTCCCATATCGCTGCCTCCACCCCCTCCCTTGGGAGGAGAACGCCCTCGTTCCTCCGAGGAGGAGACGATCCCAGGGCTGGGAGAGCTGCGCCGGGATCCCCGGATCCAGAGCCTACGAAGCAAAGGGATGCTCTGGGGGCCTCTTCGCTTGCCCAGCACAACTGCTGTTAACCCCCACCCAAACACAAACCCACACGCCCAAAAGCCTGGAGATGGAGCAACTGGGAAGCTGGATTTTAATGGAAAACCCTGGCTGCTGGCTGGATTTGCAGGACAGGACCTGCTCCCTCCTCACCCTCTCACCCATGGCTCTGGATCAGCTCTGCTCCCCCAGGACCAGGGACACTCCGATTGCTGACTTACATCACCTGTGTCCCTGCCTCTGCCACCCCAGGGCAGCTGGGGACCATCCCAAAACACTGGTGTGTTTATTGTTATTTAAGCTGCCAGTGCAGATGAAAGGAGGTCAGGGTCAGTGAAAGCAAAGTGCTGGCAGTGCTGCAGGACAGGTTAATTATTACATGGAAAAGATCACTCTCAAATCTGCCACCAATGGCTTAAAATGAGCTGGAAGCACAAGCGTCCATGAACTGCTGCAGATGAAGGTGATGCCAAGAGTTTGTTTCTAATGCTGGGCAGATTGTTCCCTCCAAGCCTTTGCCAGACAAACACAGCCAGGAGCCTTCCACAAACCCATTTCAGCGTGTCCTCACTGAGCAGACCTCAAGCCCAAAAGCTTCTTCACGTGCATCCCCTGACTTGCCTCTCTCCATAGCAGCACAGACAGCTTTCAAATGGTGGTGAGATGAGTGGCACACAGGGACTATGTCCCAAGACTGTGTCAAAGCACATCCATCCTTCCTTGGCAGGAAAAAGTGCCAGACTCATCAGCAATCTCAGCCTTCTCCACCCTTTACTCACTTGCAATCAAGCAATGAGGTGTCCCATCATCCTCGCAGGGATGAGGTTTATGGCATGTTTAGCTGAACTCTCCCTGACTGCCACTCAACGCAGACCACCACACTGAGACATCCAATGGTGGCTTGTTCCAGGCTCAGCCAAGCTCCAGCACACTCCTTCCAGATGCTGAATCCACAGTGATACCATAACCCCCACACCAAGTCCTTTCTCCCTGGCCAGCCACATGGTCCCCTGACTCCAAGCTATAGCCTGAGCATCCTAAATGTCACCCACCCTGCCACTTCTGTGCCTGTGCTTTTCATCCCCTCTGCTTACAACCTTCTTCATCTCCTCAGCCCACACCAGGAGCAGAACAGGAGACAATACTTGGAGCATAAGGCTCGGGGCATGTCAAGAGCCCTGTCTCTAATCTCAAGAATACGTTGTTTCCTCTCGAGCACTCTTACAAAGAGCAATAACCACCTTTTACTTTGCGCCTCTGAGTCATGTATCACCTCGCACAAAGATTTACCTGGAATCTGCCTTGTAATGAGTCACTTGCCAAGATGATTTGAAAAGATTTCCCATTTTGAGTCCCATTAGCCTGGGTGCTGAGGCCAGGAACCAGCGTGGTGCCAGAGTGCTGGTTAAGTTATTAAATTACTTTGACAGAAGTCAAATGGGGCTATTGTTGGAAAATTATGCACATTTTCTCCAAACTCCAAACTGCCGCGCTTTCTAAGCGATAAATAGCTGAAAATTGTCACTTTCAAGTTGTTCCCTTTCTTTAGTACGGCTGGGAGGGAGGAAAATGCTGCCTTAAAAGGGTAAGGAGGAGGAACAGACCCGCCAAGACCCATCAGCTTTGCTGGTGGGAGACCATAGCTTCCCCTGGCCTTGCTGGCAGTGCTGGCCTCCAGCAGCAGCAATGCCCTGACGGGACAGGGATGGGCACACACAAACCTTGGTGGGTTATCCCTCCTCGAGCCCATGATAAGCTCCTCAAGAGCCCACAGTGGTGGCTATCTAACCCTGCTGAGTGTGAAGGGACCCTTCTTTGGTGGGAAGTACCAAGAAATGTGATTTACAAGAGCACCCAAGCGTGCCAGGCCCTGGTAAGCAGCGAGCTTGTAGAGAACATGCTGATGGAAATCAGAAACCAAAGGGCTCCCAAAAATAACCATCCAGACAGACACAGGAGGAGGGCAGTGATCCAGGACACTTGTCAAAAGCGTGCAATCCAGAGGCATCCAAAATACCACGAGTACCTCATGCTCCGGGATGCTGTCACGTCGGTGTGGCTTTGGGGTGTCAGATGTAACCCCCTGCGAGCACTGACATTTGCAGCCCTGGAGAGGCTCCATGTGTTGCCTCTGCTGTAACCATGCAGCAAAGCCAAGAGACCTGAGCTCACCTTCCGCCTCCTCGGCCATCTCCTCCTCGTTTCCGCTCGCCCCTGACACCTCCATCTCCTCGTCCTCGGCTGCGGGAGGGAAGGTGGCTTCTTCGTTTTGAACGGCGGTCCCTTTTTTCTTCTTCCTCTTGGCGTTCCGTTCTTTCTCCTGGGGAAGAGGCAGAGAATGGTGAGAAGGAAAGCCCACGGGGAGCTGTGTGGGAGCAGAGAGCACCGGTCCTGCCCAAAGGGCCAAGAGAAATGCCAACACTGCCATCGCCCTCCCCACTGCCATTATCGACCCTTGGGACTGGCCTTGCCGGCCTGAAGCCCAGCAGCCTGGGCTCACCATCGTTCAACACGCAATGGCCAGCCTGGCTCCACGCTGAGCTCCAGCCTCAGGTGTCACTGCGCCTATACAGCAGCAGCGTCATAGACAGGAAGACAAGTGGCACACTCAGAAGTCACCAGGACAGGGCTGGCAGAGCCTGGTGGTCCCGTGTCCGTGCATTACACGCACACAGCGTGCTCATCTTGCGCATTTCCAGGCGCAACCTGCAGCTACACAAACATGAGAGGCCACGGCCTGACGCTCATTGCAGATAACGAAGCTGATGCCCCACATACCCCCAACCAACACTTCCACACATCAGCTTTCCCGGCCGGCGCTGCCAAAGGACTTTGATTCCCATGCTGGGAATGGTCCATGCAGCACAGCAACCCAAAGGTGAGCTGCATGGTGCCCCCGTCCTGCCCTGAGACAGCCCCGTCCCTGCTCGCTGGGGCACGTGCCACAGCCATGAGGGTGCAGACAGCTGCTCCCTCCCACCGACCCAAAGGAAAAGTCTCAGCTTTGCTATTGTTTCCTGCTCTTGTTGCTTGAGTAAATATTACCAGTAGGAACAGGCCCATCATCTCCGGCTCTCCCTGCAAACCCCACAAGAATGACGCGTGTAGGATGTTTATTTACATGGATGAAAAGATAAAGCCATGGTGGAAATGTTAACTTTGCTGCTGGACCTCTGTGCTGGGAAGAGCTGCTCCCCCCTTCCCCTTGCTTCTCTTCCCCCCCACCCTGCAACTTTTCAACCCTTTAGAAAACTTCCAGATAAAACAAACAAATACAACTGCTTTTTGCTTGGAAACGCTGCTTGCTCAAAGTCTATTTTTATCAAGCTGGGCAGGAGAGGGGGGAAAAAGGCACTTGAGGAAGGGCTCTGTGGAGGCTCAGAGCAGCAGTGGGCGGAAAGCAGAGCTCTGTGATGCCCTCACCCCATCCCAGCGGCGATGCCCTGGCAGTGCCGGTGTCTGCGCCTCTGCCCCAGCACCGATTCAGCACTCGCACGTTTCTGTCTGAAGCAGCAGTTCCCCATCACGCTCATGTGGTGACAAAGCGCTGACGTTACTATGGCAAAGACTTCTCTGCCTCTTACTCATGGGTCCGTGACTCAGCCGCGGGCAGGAGCAGGCTCCTCGCTGGGGATTTAGCTGGGAACCAGCCTCTGCCTCAGCACCCTACTTGGCCAGGGCCTGGGGGCTGTCAATGAGCTGCCCTGGAGGCACTGTTGGTCCCTCTCCTGGCAAGCACCACTGCTGTTATTTAGGGAAATGATGTGAAATCCAGGCAGCAGATCCCAGCTACATCTAGAGATATGTTCAAGCCACCACCTCTTCTAATGCTAACAGCACCAGCCCCCTCGTGCAGTCTTGCTCCTGGCACCCAGCCCAGGAAAGGGGTCCCTTTCTGCCTCCGTAATGAATCACGGGGCTCCCACAGCTGACATGGGATCCTAACCAACACTGCAGCAGACATCGAAGTGTCTCTGTGAGCCCTGCCTGGGACCAGGCATCTCCTGTCTCATAACATACTCTTAATCGAAGCAATTACCAGCAAGGCCAGGGGAAGGTGCCAGGACCATTTGCTATGAGCACCTTGATGCTCACTTTGTGCTATACCAGCCCACGGGGTCTCTACTCCCTGCCTGACACCAGGTACTTCTGCAGGAGCATCCAGGACTTGGTGCTACTTCTGCAGTCTGCCTCGCCAAGACCACTCAGGAGATGGGCTGTGCACAGCAAGGGCACTGAACCCAGCATGAGGGGTTCTCCATGCCTGCTCCTCCATGCTGCCCTCCCGGGTTACCAGGAACCCAGCCAGCCCCATCACGCTGACTCCCAGCCTGGCAGGGATGGGCAGCTCTTCCCGCACCACCCAGGCACTGGGCACTGCCTCCCACCACTCAAGTTCACTGCCCATCTCTCTGGTTTTCTGCCTCGCAGGCAGAGCAGCCACCCCAACAAATTTGGTCTCTCCTTGTACTCACCATCTGATGTGGCAGCAACAGCCAAAACAGCTTCCAAACCCTCTTACTGACACGGAGACATCAATACGGGTACCTCCCATCAGCATCAGCTGTTCCTAAGAGCAGGACCTGGCAGTGCCAGACTGATGTGACATAACGATGTGTATCTGAGACTGCACCAGGACCGGGACTAACCACAGAGTGACTCCTATGCCCTGCCACAGAAGCAGGCAGCAGCGATGGGAAGAGGCAGTAGTGACCCCACAGGCAGGACTTCTCTGCCACCGTGCTGAGGAGGGTCTCAGTTCCCCATTCCAAGGCCAAGGCTCTGCACCAAGGCAAGGCAGACTTGTTCACCCTCCAGAAGAAGATGCCACCTGGCTGTCCTCCGGAAGCAGCTTTGTTGTGCAAAGCCAGCACCACTCAAAAAGCAAGGAATTTAAGAAACATTGCTGAAGACTGGTCCAAAGGATTCGTCCTTCAAGCAGGATCAACTTAGGAGCAACTCGCCCATCTTTGCTGCACAAGCCAAAACAAGCCCCAGCAATCACTACACTAAAGTGATAATCACACCGCCAAGAGGTCTCAGTGAAGACAGTGCCTAGTCTGCAACCCCTAACAAAAAGAGCAGCTCGAAGGACACCGTGCATCCCAAAGCTCTGCTTTCCTCAAACACTGATACTAGAGAGCGCGGCATGCACAATTTCAAGGCTAAGTGACGCTGATGCCTGGGCCACAGCCGAGTGCTCGGCAGTGAACCCAAGCCAAAACACACAGTGGGGCAGATAAAGCGAAGCCTCAAGGTAGCCTGACCCTGCCCCAGCAGTAACAGGCTGCCTGTCCCACGGTGCAGCCGGCTGGCAAGGACACCCTGATCCATGGAGGTGCTTGAAAGGGAGGAGGGTGAGGATCTGCAGCATCCAGCTTTGTTGAGCTAGGACCAAAGTGGAATTTCCCTCCTCAAACAGGCAGGACAAGGGTCTTGTGAGTGCTAAGCAGCTCAGGGAAGAGGAGGAATAGGGCTGCGTGTGCTGACACAGCTGCTCAGCCCCTGCGTGCTCCTTTCCTGGGTTAAGAACCTCTCCAGCAAAAAGATGGGTCTTCAAATTAAAACCCCCAACATGGCACGTAGGAGGGTATGGACTGTGCGGGCTCTGGAGAGGTGGAAAAGGAGCATCACCATGTCACACACCTTTGCCCGTTGCAACCCAAACCCTTCTACCTCCTAATGCTGAATGCTCCCTGGATGCTCAGAGGGAAGTTCCCCCCATCCCCAGAGCTCCTTGGGCTCTGGCCAGCACAAAAGAGTACAAGGGGCCTCTAAAACGCACAGCCCCATCCCACCTAGGACTGTCCTAGCACGGGGAGTGGGGACATCATGCTCTGCACCACACTTTGGGGACAGAGGGACCCTGCCAGGCTCTGCTTCCCATCCCACACCAGTCACTGCTCCCTGCCTGTCCCTGCAGCAACTCCAAGTCACCTGCACACTGCTGAAACCCTGTGTCACACCCACCTGGACGAGGAAGCTGCAGTATTAATGAGCCCCATGTGGGAAACGAGTGAGATCTGCTAATTAAGTTTACCCTCATTAAGCGAGAGGAGGAAAAGCAGAGCCCCTGTGTTTCTCCGCACAGCATCAGCAATAGCTGGTGGTGGTGAGGTCAGGGAATAACCTGGGAATGTCATGGAAGAACTAGGAGATGCCACGCTGCCTCACCACATGCTCCCTCCGCAGAGGTCACGGGTGACTACTGGGTATAGGATGAGATTTGGAGGCTTGGTTTGGTTGGGAATATATTTAGGAGTCAGGAAGGAAGGTCTATGGCAATTTAATCTCAGTTGTTCTTTTACTTTATTCAGCTTTCTGGCATCTGCTGTTGCCACAAAACAATAGAGCACAATAAATAACAGCTGAATGTTCATTGTTCTTCTCCACAACCGAATCCCATAGCCTCCAATGCTCAAAACCTAAAATGATGATGCTGATATAAACTGCAAGTGAGAGTGAGCAATTAGACTGGAGAAGTCTAGCGGCTGCCTTGGAGGGACGGATGCAGGGAAAAATGTGGCTCTGCAGAAAAACACTTCCGTGATATAATTTCTGCAACATTATGAAGCGGAGTAAATGAACACACACCGGTTGCACTGCCAGTTAAGCTGTATGAGCTGATTTCAGATTCTCCCCAGTAATGAACAATGATTTCTTTCTGATGGAACATTTTATATTCCGAGGGCTTGATGCACATTTCATCCCAGCCTTTCTATTGGTTTGGGGGTCTTTTATACAGTTTGTTTGCTTTGTTTCTAAAAACAATTGGGTGAAACATGGGAACACAGGAGTGTCTGTGCATAGAGAATTAATAAAGAATCGCCGATGTCTTCTCTTTCTCTCATTCCTATAGACTGACTAGGATATTAAATTCCTGCGTGAGTCATTGAATGTTTTCCTGTCTGTCTTTTTACTCTTGCTGTAATAGCTTGCTTGGAGAGATTCCTGCATTGAACATTGTCCTTTGCATTTTCAAAGCACCCCTTGGGGTTTAGCCATGTGAATTCTATTAGCCAGAAACTGGGAACCCCAGGATACTCTACAAATGAAATAATTATAATGCTTAAGTTGCTCTTAGCAGTCCATCCTATCTCCAGAACATCAAGCAAGCCCCTCTTCATTCACACTCTGCACCACATGCTAGGAAAGAAGCAGCATTAGCCCCTTCAGATGAAGAATCTGAGGCATGGAGGGATGTGCGCATCTGCCTGCAGCCCCAAAGAGAAGCTACATCCATGTTGGGACCAGCCTTTTGGTCCTAAACCGCTGAATTCCTCTGGAACAAACTGGCAGTTCACCAGGTAACTGGGGTACCTGCAAGGCACAGAACTGTGTGGCCTTGCCAGGGTGGAAAAGCACAACCTCACCAGCAGCAAAGTATCTGCGCAGCCAGGACTGAGCTCACGCCCTGGATTAACAAGGAGCAGCCCCGCTTCTCCTGCTGCTCCTTATCTCCCTGCGTACCAGCCGCACTCCAGATGCCCAGGCATCTCCCACACAGCAGCTCTCCCTCCTCCAGACCTCCCAGGGACAGATGGGTGGGCAACCCTTTCCTGCACCACTTCCCGCTCCCCACAGCTTTCCCTCCAAGATGATGAAGGCCCCCCCTTGGATGTGGGAAGCACGCAAGCACTTGCTGGGAAAGATCGACATAGGCCGGTGTGGGCTGCGATGGGGCTCTCACCATTTTCAGTTTGTGTTGCTGTAGGATCTCATCCAGGTTCTGCCTCTTCTTGTAGTTGAAGTAGAAGTTTTTGCACTGTGACACGGTCTTGGAGCCCACCATCCTGGCAATGGCCGACCAGTTCCGCCCATGCTCAAGGAGACCTGCGGATACAGAGCAAGGATTTAACACCAGATACACTCACATAATGGCAGCATTATCCACACAGGATGGGAAACATCCTCTGCACAAGCCAAACTCCACAGGAACAATATGGTCACTAGCACCCGTCTGAACGGCTTCGTAGGTCATCCCCTGGCCTAGAAGAGGCTGTTTTATTTTCCAAGAGGGAAAAAAGGCACTATGCTAACCACCTCTGGAACAAAATACGTCCCACAGCCACGTCTCGGCCAGCCACCAGGCAGTCAGGAAGGTGAGCAGCACTCCCTTCCCTTTGGGATGGCTGCAGGAGGCGTTGGCATGACCACGACAACTTAGGACAGCAGCTCTTAGTCCCTAGCGTGAAGCAAAGGCTCTTCCCACCCTCCTGTGCCCCAGTGATGACACTGAACAGGGTGACAAGGCAGTTCAGGGGGTTGGAGCATGAGGTCCTGTTACGGATGGGGAGGAAGATCCCAGGCAGGGAACCCCAGGTGATGTCCTGGGCTGGGAAGAGGCGTGCTGCGGATTAGTGCTGATCACAGGCTCAGTGAGCACAACCAGCTTCCCAGGTCAGGCACCAAGCCAAGGGCTGGCAATCCTGGCCAGATGGTGCCACCCGAGCATGAGGCTCCTGCCAGCGCTGGGGCAACCCAGCAGGGTGGAGGAAGATGAAGAGGAAGGAGCAAGTCAGCACCCTGTGTCCTTGCGGGCTCCGCAGCGGTGTCCTGGGCACCCCTGGTCCTGCAGCTCACAACCACAGCACACAGGCAGGCACAGCAGTGCCCTGGTCCCTCCATCCCAGGCTCTTGGACAAGATCCAGGTGGGCACAATCCAGGCTTGCTGGGAAATAAAGCCCCATTGCCAGCAGTCCTTCCTGGTGCATGGTTGGTGCTCCCCATGGTGCCCAGTGGAGCCGGAGCTGCCACCAGCCTGCCAGATGCTGCCAGTCCAGCTGGGTCCTGCCGGTCTGGCTGGATCCTGGCTGCCCACATGATGCCACACTCAGGCCAAAAACTCCCCTGATCCTCCCCTGCACCAAAGCATCCCTGCGCAGGATGCAGACACTGAGCCCAGGGGCAAGGTACTGCCACAAAGGTGACTTCAAGATGAAAACCAGCAGGGAAAGAACCTGCCAAGGGCATCACCCTCTTTTGTTAGGGGGTTTTCTGCCCAGAAGCCACCAATCACAGAGCCTGGGAAGAGGCACTGCCTGGGTATCTCTGTTGTTCATCCTCAACCCCTCCCCTGGCTGCTCTGATGCCATGGGGCTCAGGACCACGATGAGTGCCATGGTCAGGCTCCTGAACGTGGCTCTGCCCCAAGCACCAGCTCAGACCTCAGTGTCAGCCCAACAACAAACCCACCCTAGGACAGACTGATCTCAGCACAGACACAAGCAATCAGAGCCAGACGGACACACCTCCACCAGTGTGTGTGAGCCCTGCACCACGTACCCCAGGAGAGATGAAACCCCCCCCCCTCTGCTTCCCACATCCTGGATAAACCCAGTACCCAGCACAGCAGGAGTTAACATCCAGCCGGTGCCTGTATCCTGCCCGGTCCCAGCACCAGGGCTTATCAAATTGCATGTAAAGAGGCAGGCATCACACAGCGCTGAGCACCACAAAAGGCTGTGGCAAGCCAAGAAACAAGTTTGAGCTTTAACTCTGCAACTCCCAGCCTCGCTTAAGCCAAACCCACGACCTCCATCACCCCGCTGGCAAGCTGGGACTTCTCAGATACAATAATAAACACAAAAAGGGATGTCCGGCCACCAACCATGACAGATAACAAGCCGGGTTGGGAGTCCTCCCCCCACTGTTGCAGAAAGCTGCAGGGGAACACAGGACAGTCCCCTGTGTCACAACCTACCCCCTGTGTCACAACCCACTGCTGCTGTCCAAAGCAAACAAGCAGCTCAAGCCCGGTTTTGCTCATCACAGCGCTGGTGGCCCTGCACCAAGTGTGACAGCCGGGGCGTCACTTGCTGCCCCCCAGGCAAAGCCCTGCAACACTGGCAGCTCCAGAGGACGAGATGCTGTGCCACCCGGGAAGCGGGATGCGGCACAGCACAGCTCGGGGCTGGGGGGTGATGGATGCCAGTGCAAACAGTCCCAGCACGGTGTGACCTTTGCAAGCCGCGGGTGATGCCAGCTCCTGGCTGCCCTTTCCCCTGAGGTGCCTGCAGCCACGGAGCAGGTGGCTGTGTCCGTGCTGGGCTCATGAAGACGAAGCTGCTGCAGCCCCTGCCTGCGGGACCCGGCAAGCAGCCCAGCTCTTCCCTTTACACGAAACCCAGAGCAAAACAGCAGCACCTGCACCCACACTGCAATCCTCTGGGGAGGGACCAACCGAGACACCCCAGGACCTGCCAGTAAGCCCTCGGCTTCTCAGGCACCCTGGTTTGCTGAGCTCCACCAGCACGGAGCCTCTGCACCCCCACAGCCTCTGTGCCGTGCTCCCCAGCCCGCCTCGGCACCGCGCAGCCCTCGGTTCCGCAGCGCAACTGAAACTATGACTAACTGAGTTATCAGATCTCAAGGCAAGCTGCGCTGGCTGGGGCGGGGGCTCCGGACGCAGGGGCTGCCCGCAGGCACGCAGCTACAACGCAACCGCTGAGGTTAACCCCATCCTTCGGACCCCAAAGCCGGGACTTACGTGCTCCGGGTCCGGGTCCGGCGGGCAGGGAGCGTGCCCGGAGCGTGCAGCGGGCAGGCTGGGAAGGACGCGGGCGTCGGGGCACTTCTTCAAAGCCCCCCCGGGCACGGCAGCCCGCTGCGAAGCGCTGCGAGTGCTCCGCTCACACCCTCCCCACGCATTTTGCTTTCGCTCCCTCGCAGCAGCCGGAGACAGAGAAGAAAGCAAAGCCGGTTCCTTAAATCCTGGGGGCGAGAGGATTTCAGAGCCATGGGCGGCCGAGAGCGGCGAGCGAGTGGGCTCCGGGGCTGGAAACCAGGTCACAGGCGGAAGACTCCTGACCCCGATGGCAGAAGTTGGTGGGAACACATGCTCCGGCCCCAGCGCTCTTCCCTCCGGCGTCCTCTGCGCTCCTCCGGCTCGCCGGAGCTTTCCAACCCTCTGCAGCCGCGGTTGTTTAACGTGGATGGAAGCGCCTCCAGTGTTTTCTCCCCTACCTCACCTCCTCGCTCAGGGCTACGGGGAGGCTGCGCGGCTTCAGGAGATGCCAGACGTTGCCAAGAAATAATAATAATTAAAAACAAGAGGAAAAAAAGGCAGGAGCAAGGCAAAGGGGAGGGAGCAGCCGGCTGCGCGCCGCGGCTCCGCTCCTGCCAGCCCGGGGACGGGGAGCCGGTGCCGTCGGTATGTGGCGGAGCAGCGAGCGAGCTCTAATCTGTTCCTCTGGCTGACCCAGGGCTCGTTGCATCTGAATGTGACCTCTAGACAGAGCATTAATAACGAACGTGGCGCTGACCCAAGCTGACAAGGGGTGCGGCCGCTTGGCACCCGCTCCCGCCTCCCTCTCTCACTTTCTGTCTCCCTCGCTCTCGTCTGAATGTCAGCGGCAGGGGGAGGGATCCAGGAAAACAAAGCTTGGCTAATAGTTTCCTCCGCTCTCAAGTGAATCAAAGGCGCTTTTCTTTGGGGATGTGCGCGCTGGCGAGCCCAGTGGCACGCTGGCGGGATGCCGTGGCACCCTGGCACACCTCGGTCCTGCTGCCCCGGTGAAGGGATAGGGAGAGGATTGGCATTGGTCTCACTATGGGTGCACCGGGGCTTCTTCTCCGGTACCAGGAAGCAGAGGGTGGAAGGGAGGAGAAGCCTGGAGAACATCTTGGAGTGCAAAGGAGAAACCGGAGGGCAGCAGGGGCCATCAGCTCGTGCCCCATCGGCTGTCTGCAGAGTTCCAAGGCTCTCCAGCATGGCTGCCCTGCTCCATTCGGGGCTCGGCAAGGGTGGAGGGAGTCCATAAAAGGGTCCCTTAATGGGCGCTCGTGGATTATCAGATCACGGTTACACGGGAAGAACTAAGTGATCTCATTCCCCTATGCCTGACAGTACCTGGTGCAATCCTCCAGCCCCTCTTGCACCCATGAAACCTCTTGGGAGCAAGGATGGAGGCAGTTCTCACTATAGCACAGCCAAAACATGCCATAACCCCATACCGCAAAAAAGATTGGCACTTTGGAACCCAATGCATCCTGACAGCGTGGTTGGCATTGCTAAGCTGAATTAGCGCACCGCAACACTGCTTTCCTCCACTGATCTCGGGGCACTTTGCAGCACGTGGGAGAACTGATTCCCAAGGAAGGTAACTTCTCCAGGTCCATGGAGTCAGTGAGGGCAGAGCTGGATGAGCACTGGGTTCCTAAGGAGAGCAGTGAGGACAGGGCGCAGAGGGAAGCCCATGTCCCTGCAGGCGCCGGAGGCATTGCCAGAGGGACCATCATGCAGGCAGCCAGCTCGGTGTGATCTTGCTGCAATGATGGGTGATGCTCTTCCTTCCTTGAAACCAGGCTGTCATGCTCCTGATGGACCTCTCCCTCAGTGGCTGGATGCAACCATGCTTCTGATGTGCTTCATGGCCACGAAGGAGCTCACAACAGTCTTCACATATATCATGCCCCCTCTCCATAGGGAAGCAGTGCCACCAAATGAGGCATGGACATGGAGTCAGGACCCCTGGCCAGCTCAGCACTAGTGCTATCTTCCCACTCCACTGGCCCTGGATGGGGACCCTCAGTTCCCAGATCTCCCTTCTGAGCATCAACCTTCTGCTGCATCAAGCCTGTGCCCTGACCACAGACTTGCCCAGCTCTCTCCCTTGTACCACAACCCTCCTTGTGTGCTGTGTCTCCATCCTTTGGCCCTGCGAGGGGATGGGAAGCCTCCTCCCTCAGAGGTGCTATCCCCTCTGGTCTGGCTGGGGACACTGGAGTCTCCAGCTCAAGGCAGTGAGCACACGTGAAGCAGCTGCTCCTGGCGGACCCAGCTCTCTGCCTTCACCTGGTTTGGATATTATTCCTGCTCCCTTATTGTTGAAAAAATAACGCTCAAAATTAAAATGTAGGCTGTAAATTATAGTAATTACCCAGCAGTTCCCCCTGACAGGCCTTTTGTGTTTCATTCACTGACACTCACTAAGCAAATCCTCGCAGTTTGCTCCTACACGCTCGAGAAACATTCAGCCAACAGCAGCACAAAGCACAGCTCTGGGGGAACAGCAAGCAGGAGCACTACAGACACTATCCCGGGATAACACCCTGCCTGAAGAGCAGCAAAGCACCAGCCTGGCATGTTTGGGATGGGACTGCAGCTGATCACAGCTCTTCCAGGACAAGCATTAGGGTCAATTACTGCCTTGGATGCAGCTCTGCCCTTGTGGCACACAATCCACCCCATCCCAATGATTTCCACCGTGTCACTTGTACAAACTCCATGGCAAACACATGGCTTGCTCAGAGCAGGCAGATCCCATATTCTGGGAGGCTGTGCTCTGAGCTCCCCTTGCACCCAGCCTGGATGGAGAGCACCCAAGTGGGGAACCTCAAGGCACATCCCACCCCAGGGCCAGAGAGAGGGACAACACACAGCGACCAGCACAGGCTGCAAACCACCTTCTCCAGCCCACACTTACTACCATCAGCAGGTTTTTACAGCACTAAACATCTCTGACTGGAGAGGGAAAGGCTCCAGCATGAGCACAGGAGAGATGAAGGGAGGAAGGTATGGAGCTGCTGGTCCCTTGTGAGAGCAAGAGCTGCCCTGCCAAGAAGTGATGGAGGAAAAAGCAAAGACCCAACAGACCTGCCTCTCCCTGCCCTTCATCCAGCAGCTCGTTAGGAACAACAGTGCAAACCCAAATGAGGGTTGGAGGAGCACACAATTGTGTGTGTGTCTACACACGCACTCAGGCTCCAGAAGGATCCTGCACCATGAGACAGTGAGCTGAAAGGCAGCTGCGTTCTAAAGGTGATGGGAGATGCTGAGAGGGCTTTTGTGTCAGTGGGGTTGGGTGTGTGTTAATCTGAAGAAGTAAGTGTATTTTGTTTTAAGTAATCCACTTTAGTTTCATGAACAGAATGAGACTGGAAAAAAAATGGTTCAGGTCAGTCCAAAACTCATCTTGCTGAGCTGGTTGTTGTCAGAACTGAAAATCAGCCCTTGAAAGAATATCTTCTGTATCCAAGGAAATATTTTACATATACCCAAAATGAACTATTCAGGAGTCTTGATGGGTTATTTAACTCTCTGTCATCAGCTTTTTACATTCATGCCCAACCCTCCACTCCATCAAGCTGAATCCATCCCAAAAGGCCCAGGAAAAGGCATATGGAGCCAGAAGCTGGCCTTGCTGCAAGGGCAAGAAGCACAGAACGCCCTCAGCAAGGCTGGGAACACCTCAGGTGAGCAAGAAACTGCCATTTCCACACCGCCTCATTACAAAGAACAAAACCACTTGTTAGATGCCAAGGGGAAAACCCAGACTTGGGCGAGAAGAGAGACCAGACTTTACAGACTAACAAAGGTCATGCCGGAACCTCCCGGTTCATCAAGTTCAGCCCTGCAACACCGGGTGCTTAATGAAAACCTCCTGCTTTCAGGATCACGGCAGCGGTGCAGGGAGGCAGGGCCAGGAGAACACGCTCCCCTGTCATTACAGCAATCTCTGCACATTTTGACAGACTGGTGAATCAAAGTTTATTGCGTAATGAAAGTGTCATTAAGCAAGAACTTTCCTCTCGCTAGGTTTTCATTCCCCTAGTTAACTTTAATAACATGGTACTCCCCTTTATTGTCTCTTCCGACAGACACAGTCCTGCCTCTTCCCACTTGGAACTCTCCATGCAGCCCTGTGATTCTGGAGCAGAGCAGACAACCCTTGCATCTCACTGTCCCACGCCTGTTTTCCCTTACAGGAATGACATGGGGTTTAATGCCCTGCATGAAAATGCCAGGGGTGAACAGCAAGGCCAGGCTGATCTCCCTGTTGGTGGGCGCTGGGAGCAGAGAACACCGTCCCCATCAGATCAACCACCTCAGGGCGTTAGGGCTGATGTTCCATAGGACTCACATCTTGTTAAACTCCCTGAACCAGCCGCTGTGGGCTCAGGCTGCTACCAGCACCAGGGAAGAGCTTTTAACAGCTGAGTCCTTACAGTGAGAAGGATGGCACCCATGTCTCTGTGCTGGGTGCCCACCACCTCCTCCAGCCCCTGAGGTTACCTCCAGCCTTTCAGTTTGCAGTTGGAAAGCCCCACTGCACCGGTCCCTGGAAATACCAAATAGAGCCAGTTTGAAGCATTAAAGCGTCTGCTTCCTGGCAAAGGGGAATTTGGCTTCTCTGCACAAGTCTGCTGTTGCAATCTCAGTTTCCCAGGTTGTAATGGAGGGGGAAAACATCAGCAATCGGGCTTTACACCAGCAAATCTCCCTGCCTCGTCCTGGCCCCTGGGCTGGAATAATGCTACGTGCTCCCACACCTCATCCTTCCTCCACACAGGCTTTGGCAGCTGGTTTTAAGACTCCTTAAGCGCACCTCCAGCATAAAACAGCAAGAGGCACTTTTAAACAACCAGATGAGATCTCCAAAACAAAGCAGCGCCCGGATAAAATCCTTCCAACGACCCTCCCCTGCTCAGCACCTGCTCGCCCCACTGCCTGGCCCTGGGCCAGTTGGGTTGATTAAAGTCTATCTATTAAGTTTTGTGTCTATAGAGAGCCGCGCTCAGCGACGCGCAGGATTGGCACCGGCTTGTAAAGAGGGTTGGAACAGCTTAAAGGAGAGTGAGCCAAACACTTTGGGATATTCACAGGCAAAGTAATCCAAGCCCACGGCTCCCACCGGCACCTGGGCAGCCGGCGCTCCACAACGTGTAATCACCATTGCAGCAGCAGGTGCATTTTCCAAGGCGAGCCGAACCTGCTAACAGGCCTGTTTGCCTTTGCCATCCCCACACAGCACACTCATTTCCATTTTAATTTGCCATTTACAGCCCTCACCGGGCCAGGAGAGCCGGCAGTGATGCGAGTGGGATGCACGGGCTGGGGACACGAGCTCGACAGCCCATCAACAGGACGTGACTTTGGCAAAGGACCGAAAGCCGCGAAAAGAGCTGGCGCAGGAGCGGCACGAGGAGGGGAAGTGGCAAGAAGGGCTCTGCTACACTCAGCACTTTTTAAACACGCTCTCAGCAAAGGTTTTGAATCAGCTCCAGGATGTAAAGTCACCCCACGCTGCCCGCAGCCCGGCACTGTGAGTCCCCGACACGTGCCTGCGGAGTGCTGGGGTTCACTGTCCTCTCCCCAAGCCTCAGAGCTGTGAATGCTCTGAGCACATCTGGAACACATCACACCAACAGCACAAACCTCTGGAGAGAGGGGTGAAGCTGCACCTCGTGCTACGAGCAGCAGAAGCTGCAACAAGCACCAGGCAAGGTGCCTTCCTGCTTTTCTATGACCAGCTCCTGCCTTGCAGGACATGCCAGGCTCCAGCCACAGCCCAGGCATCCTTGGTGTCAGCACAGGGCTGGAGAGGCTGGGCACACCGCTGCCTGCCTCTCCCAAACAACTCCTGAGTCTCACTGGAATAAACCAGCAACAGGACAGGCAGAATCCAGCCCCACGGCTCAGGGCTGCCACCCTGCACCGACTGCAGCACTCAGACACCATCCATCCCTGATTGCTGGGTTAGCTCCAGCAGAACAAATAGCAGCAAGAAAACAAATGGCTCACCTTTTTTAGCGGTCTCCATCTCCTCTTCGGTCCAGCGAGAGCTTTCATTCATCTCAAGAGAAGCTGGAAAGGAGGAAGAAAAAGAAAGCAGTCAGTTGTGAGTGGGAGCCAGCAAGCCCGGGGAGCTCAGATACCCAAATGCACAAACCCCATCCTATGCCCTGTTCCCTACAGGCACAACAAAAAGCTGTGTGGTGCATAACCACTCCTGCAGGGAAGGCTGTTGCGGTGCAGGCTCTCAAGTCTTTTCCACACCACAGTAACCCATGCACAGCACCCTCCCTGGGACGTGTCTCAGTGATGCAAAACCTCTACTTTGGGACTGGAAGAGAAGCCAGATGGCTTGAGGGTGGCAGCAGATTTCCTGCTGATTTGGTGCCACGCACTCTGGCCCGCCAACAACAGGTACCAAAGACGGAGCTGGCTTCGGCTGTGTGCTTTGGAAGCGGCAGCCGCAGGGAGGGACCATCACCCTCGGCGCAGGCAGAAAACAGCATCACCACGGTGGTGACTGGCTGACCGCATCCATCATGGGAGTTGACCATGCTTGACCATGCCATCACCAGGCTCTTGGACAGCTCAGAGCCATTTCCACCCATACTGAGGGCTCCCCCAGAGCAGCACCCACCACAAGGGGATGTGCTGCTCCAGCCGGGAGAGGGATGTCAGCACCTGAGGCTCCTCCTCTCCCCCCTCCCAAGCACAGTGCTGGGGACACCGAGGCCCTGCATAAAGCCTTCACTATGCAACAGTCCTGTTGGCAGCCTGGCACTAGAGTGAACCGTACAATAACAAACCAGGGTGTGAGTCAGAGGCAAAAAGCAACTTGGTAAGGAAACAGATTTCCGGCTCAGTCTGCCAAGGGGTTATTACTCCAAACAACAGGCGAAGCATTATTTCAACAGTGATGAGAGATGTTTTGACAGTGTCCTTTCAAAATGGAAAACAGGCTGATAGGTTCAGGATAAAGGATATGGGTAAAGAGAGAAGGAAGCATCTTCCAAGAAGCTCAATAAGAAGCTGAGACCCTGTGAAAGTATAATGCGGGCTCTGATGCCCTCTGCATTGGGAAGAGGCATCTCCTTCACAGCTGGCTGAGCACAACTGCAGGTGCCACCTCCTGTAAGTCCGTGCAGGTCAAAGCCTTCCCCTAGGCCTTTTCCCCTTGGGCTGCTGGCCAAGAGGGAGGGAAATGGAGACTTGACTGCGGGCAGAGCCAGGGCCACGATGCTGGTTTACGCAAAAGAGAGTGTCCCCAACATGCTGCCAGGCCCCTCGCTCAGCTGGAGGATCCCTGTTATTGTATGGGAAAGAAATGTCAAAGAAACGGCCCGTTTCCTTTGATTGATGGTATTTACTGAGGTTGCTCAGTTATGAAACAGATGCCTACGGGGAGCTCCGGCACGCTGCAGTTAAACCACAATACAGTTTTGTGTTGTTTTTTAATGTTCAATTGGTATTTAAAATGCAATAACTTTCTTAGCCAACCTAAATTAAAGCACTATTAGAGAGACATGAAGTGAAACCAATTGCTCAGATATGTCACTGGAATCGATCCATTCCCTCTTCCCAATTTAACACAGTCTGAAGTCTTTTTCTCTGCGTTTGCAGCGAAGTTTATGAAGGACTCCGAGATGCTGGGATAAAAAAGAATTCCCATCTAAGTTCCTGCCATTATCTGCTGCTTCTTTGCAGCATTGCTTAACAAGTTGGAGAGGGAGAGAGGGCTCTGTTGTGCCGGGAACTATTTATATCGCCTGTATGAAAACAGCACTCGCAATCAAGGCTTCAGCCAGTTGTCAGCAGAGGAACAGGGAGGCGAAACACCTCCGGGTGATTTATAGCACACGGAACAGAACAAGCAAGAAACTGCAGAGCAAGGAAACGGAGAGGAGTCACCCTGCTTTTATTTTTACTTGCCTCTAGGTAGCACAGTAATAATTTTGTACTTGGTAAGAGTAAAGTATAGGAAAACCAGCCAAATTCCTTGATGTAAGGCTTTTGTAAGTCAATCCATGAGCCGTTTCCCAAGGTGGCCACTACGGATGCTGCAGATGTGAGAGGCAGATGCACCTGATGCGGGGCTGCAGATGCTGCCACGGATTCCCATCTAGCCTGGGACTGGCAGCATCATGCTCACAGCCATGGGTCAGGGGGCCTAGCTAGCCCTGCTTGCTAGCCAGGGCACTAGGGACCAGCACAGAAAATGCTGCTTTTTGGGCTAAACAAGAGCAACCTGAGTGCACACGCATGACGTCAGCCATGACCCGCTGCCCCCCTCACCACGTCCTTCAGCTGCAGAGATGGGAAGGGACCAGCCAAATTCCCAAGGCCAGGGGGTCACAAACCCCACAGGCTGCAGCTGCTCAAGCTCCAGGCAGGTTTGGAAACAGAGAGGGCAGGAGAACTGGCAGAGACCGGGCAAGCCCAGGATGGCAAAGCAGGCTCCTAGGCAGAGATCAGGGGTACTCAAAGCCCAAACTACTGCAGAGGGAAACACATCTCTGGGTGCAGGAGGGACACAAGCTCTGCATGAACGCAGCCAAAAGTGCTTCTGAAAACCCTCTTTTTGTTCTGCAGTACTTCCTCTCTGAGGCCATAAACCACACCAACAGCCAGGACAGGCCAAGCTTGCATATGGCTCTGCTCTATCTGGGTGAACTGGGTAATTTGTGAGATGGAGAAACGTAATTGTTGCTCCCCAAAACGGAGGATTCCATGAAGGAAAACCCTCCTCTGTGAGCAGGGAGCAGAGCACGGTGATGCCCCATCACACCAGAGAGGACAACCAAAAAGCTGTGCCAAGATCTCCCCATCCCCATAACCACTGCTACCTACCGAGCTCCGCGCTCTGCTGCGGGGCGGTCGCCTCCTCGTTGTTGGCTTCATTGGCCATGGAGCGGGTGATGCGGCCCTTGCGCCTGCCCTGGCTGTTGGCAGTTTTCCGACCCTTGGAGGTGACCGTTTCCTTCTCATCATTGTCTTCCCCGGATGTGTCGTCGTTCTTGTCCCTGCAAAATCAGGGAGGAAAGGGAAAAACCCCCGTGGTTGGTCTGAGTTTTAGGTCAAGCAATTATTCCTCTGCACGTGTTTGGGGATGAGGGGTTTCTGCTGGGTCTTTGGAGGTGGAGGGGAGAGCAGGTCTGCATTTGTTTTTGCACACACAGGCTCTTTTCCTGGCTGGGATTGGTGGTGGGGTGATTTGTGGTGGGGCTTTCTTTCTGCAGCTGGCTGCAGCTCCACCACCAAGTGCACGCAGAGACCTGACGGAGACAGGTTTAATACCAGACCATTCAAATTCATCCCTGCCTCCTCCTCATTTATCTTCCTGAAAGGACCTGCTGGTAAATGTCTTTGCAGCCTAGATATAATGAAGCCAGATGTTCTTTTAAACCAAGTATTAAGCCCATTACAGATAGCTAGCGGTCTGCGTGCCAACCTTTCCCCGCCACGGCTCCGACACTCCCTGTTTGGTGTGAGGGAGGCAGGGCTGGCTGAAGCCCTTCATCTGGGAGCGCTCACGTTGCCATCAATAATGCTAAAGGTGAAGTGCCGCGCTCGGCTGCGCCCAGATTGCTTCTCTGGCTCCCAGAGGCTCTCACAACAGCAAAACAAGCTGGAGGATCAGAGGGGCTTTGTGGGTTGATTGGGTTTATATATATAAAAGAGCTTATCAGAGTTGTTTTCCAAGGTTGGGAGCAGCTGGGATGAGGAATGAAGAGGAGAGCAGGCTCTGCTCTTCCCTCCCTGCGGAGGAGGTGCAGTCAGCACACATGGTCCTGCACGGGGTCAGGCAGCCCTGAACTATGTTAGATCCAACCACTGCATCCTAATGCTGCATCCCACCACCACATCCCCAGCCCCTCAGCAGGCAGGGAGGGATTGTCCTTACTTGGTCAGTTCCTCTTTGTCGTTCTCTGTTTCCTGCTTGTCTTCCTCCTTCTCTCCCTCTTTCTCCTTCTCTTTCTCTTTTTCATCTTTATCTTCTTGGCCGCTCCGGGGCATTTGCTGCTGCTGCTGCAAAACAAGGGACGTAAAACAAAACAACCCCTCAGTGCTGAGGCGGATTCATCGCAGCACCTGGGCCAACCTAAACAAACGCCTCGAAACAATGCTGGGGGCGAGCGGCCAAGAGGAAAGAGTGCTGCAGGCAGAGAGTACAGCGGGGTGCTTGCAGAGGCCATGGAGGCTGAAAGCCTTCCGGGGAGATCAGGGGGAGTCTGGGCTCCTGTTGCAAGCAGTGGGACAGCCCCAGGGGCTCCCCCGGGGCAGGCAGTGAGCAGGGAGGTGAGAACAACCCCCTGTTCCCTGCAGATGATGACTGTCACGATTTGCAATCACGATTTGCAGCTGGTGGGATTCATTATGCTGGAGCATGAAGGAGATGGGGGCACCAGAGATGCCCTGAGACTCAGCAATACCAATGCTGCGATCTCTTCCTCAAGCATCTGACATGGTCATGCACCCCAACTGCTCCAACTCTATCGCCCGGGCCATGGTACCCGAGGGAGGGACACGGTGATTATAATAGCTCTGGATTTTGTTTCAACAGCTGCAGGAAGGAGGATGCTGGGGAGGCCTAGTTCCCCTGACCTCCCTTCCCTCTGGCGACTGGCAACCGAGAGGCATTTCATAGAGAAGTAGGAATTAGAGGCGGAAATGATTTATTAAACCATCCTGCTCCTGGCTGCTTGCTCCAGGAAAACCCACCCTGGGCTCGCCCAGCCCCTGACCAAGCTGCAGGGCTTCCACCATCCCTTGGGAAAGGGTTCAGTGATGTAATGGGGGGAAATTGCCTTAAAGCGGATTTATCAGCAGAAAGTATGGTCCCAAGTGGCCAGGTCTGGCTGGCACACAGCCATTCGGCAAGTGTGGATGAGGTGTCCCTGCCTCCCTCAATCCAGCAAGATAGGCCTGTCCTTGATATGGGAGGCTGCCTCCAACACAGGCATCCCTGCAGCAGCGGCACTGGGTGCAAGCTAAACCCTCTGCCCCCAGGGGCTGCCGCTAAAACAAGAAGCATGGAGCTGTCACAACAGGCTGTGGAGCAGTTGAACGAGCAAGCTGCTGATTCTTCCAGGCCCTGGTTCAACACAAGTCCTCAGAACACAGCGCTGCCATCACTGAATCCCTGCAGACTTTCAGTTCCTCCTTGTACAGGGGAGGCAGCTGTGCCACCGGGACGCGGCTCAGCAGCACACGTGTGGCAGGCATGGCCAGCCCCTGCAGCACCCCCATGCCAACACACGTGCTGAACGCACCCACATCAGCTCACACCCCCGCTGCACCCCCAAGGAACGGCTCCGTGGGATGCAAGGCTGGGAAGATCCAGGGGAGGGGGAACTGGGGAACAGTTCACACTCGGTCACACACAAGATTTTCCAGTCCATAAATCTCTCAGGCTTGGGGAATGAGCTGTCTCCTGCAGCAAATGGCCAACAACAGCATCGCACCCAGCGTGCCAGGCACTGCCATCACCAGTCCCCAACCCAGGGAGAAGGAGGCGGATCAGGATCCTGCCTGGCTGCACACGAGCAAGGGGCATTGTCACACAGGTCTCCCCAGTGCTGCTCTGAACCTGGTGACTCCCTGAGTCACACCAGGGTGAACCCTGAGCATGGGTTCAGCCCCAACAAACACCATGGGATAAGGGTTGTCACCTCTGAGGGTCAGCGGGGAGCAGGGCAGGCTCTGCTGTCACCACCCATCCCTTCACCAAGTGCTTTGGCAAGGGAGAGGAGCCCAGGTGAGCTTCGCAGTATTTCTATCACCCCATTGTGAATATTTTCTTCTGAGGGATGGGGATCCCTGCATCCTGAAGATCCCATGTCCCTGGGGTGTAAACCCAGCCCTTCTGCAGCGGTGACTGTATGAGCCCCTGCCCCTGCACCAGCCTGGCGGGGGCTTCCAAGGAAACTTCAACATCATCTCATCTTGTCTTCATGCTTGTCTGAACCAGGGGGCTGTCACCCCAAGCAGCCATCACAGCTCCTCCCCAGAGGAACAGGCTGGGAATGTGGATCTCCCTGTGCCAGCCTGCAAGAGCAGGGGTGGAAAGGCAGGGAAGAGGTGCGAGTGGCCATGGTGGCTCATGCTGCAGTGTGGGTGCTTCCCTGCAGAGGCATCTGCCGAGCTCCAGCATAACAAGGACTGGCAAACCCCATGGCCTGGCTTCAGTGCATCCCTCTCCTCTGGGAGGTTTCAAGCCCAGCCTGCTAGGACATCAAATTAGGGCTTTTCCACTGCAGAGGAGCATCTCGATCCAAGGATGCCCTCTAGTGATTGCCCTGCTCCAGCCCGACGGGTGCCCGACACCAGGAGTGAGAGCCAGGAGGGCACAGCACCCTGTGCAGCGGGACAGGACGGGAGGGGACAGGACTGGTTGGCTCTCACCTGCCAGGCTGAAACGCATAAATTGGGCAACACCATCACCATGAGGCCATGGCTGGGAAAACTGTCCCCAGCTCCACCCGTGGCTGTGCTCATGTCTGCATGTGAAGGTGGCTTCGAGCCAAATGCTGCTTTGAACCCTGGCAAGCATGCAGTGATGGCTTATTCCCTATGCTAGGGCTCGGTTACGTGTGGGGCACCCCCTGAACACCCCAGGAAGTACCTCTGGGGATGGTCACGCTCATGAGTGACACCTCACATCCCACCCAGGGGTATGTGCTGGGCTGGAGGCTGCAGGGCTGGTTGAAGCCGTGGGGAAACAGGCACCCTGGGGTCCTGAATGCAACCATGTGAGAGCTCAGATGCAAACAGCACGTGGAGTAAGGAGGTGGGACACCCCGCAGGGACCAACCACAGCAGCTGCCTCAGCCTACCCATGCTACCTGCTCCACCCCAAACCTCAGCCCGGTCAGCATCGGAGCCGGACCATGGCACGGCACAGCACCGCACCGGGAAGCCACAGCCAGGGGACCATGGGCCGGGCGGTCCCCCACTCCCGGCACACGGGGAGGCTATTCTTAGTGCTGGACGCGGACCAGCTCTGGATGATTCAAGGGACGGGACGCCATCCCAAAGCGTGACAGGCCAGGAAATGCTTCCCCAATTACGAGCCGATGTTTCCCTCTGATTCACGCTGCCCCGGTTAGAGGTGGACCAGCAGGTGGGTCAGCTCTTAGCGGACACACCAAAGCCCAGCACCAGAACTGCTCAGCTCCCAGCAAGCTTCAACCTCTCCCCACCTATATCCCTGCCCCCCTGGGGATGAGGCACCCTGTCACCAGCAGGTACGTGCTCCCCACCTTGCACAAGAAGGTGAAGGGACATGCCCGAGGCCAGGGAAGATGCCTGTGGCAGAGGGCAGGGCTGGCCCTCCCGTCCCTCCCTCCCAGGTCAGACGCTCTAACTGCTGGACCACCCTTCCTCCTCCTCACATCGCTGCTGCTTGTTTTTGCTGCCGACACATCCTGTTTATTTAGAAAGGCCCCAGGACAAAACTGCACACGGGATGAGCGGCCGATCCTGCTCCGAGTCCATAGGGACGGGCGGCCTCCTTCCCTGTGCTCCGGCATGAGCTGATCCGTAATTACAAACACCTGCTCTCCTCTATCCCGACTTCCCACCAGCCCTGGAGCAGCTGGATTGGAGCAGAGCGCTGCCAACATCCCGGGAATACCGGCCACCCCCTTGCCCCAGCACCAGCTCCCCGCCGGAGCGACACTCGCCCTGCCCAGCTCCATTGAGCACGGCACAGGGATTTCAGCCACTCCAAAGCTCTAGCTCCGAGCATTCTTTCAGGGGACACCAGCTTCCAGGTAAGTCCCGGACAAGGAATCACCAGCTCACTGCATGCCCAGCAATGGCTCTGCCTGAGAGAAAAGCCCCGGCAAGGAAGAGGTGCAGCTCCTCCCACTCTGTTTACTTCCTCTGCCGAAGCACTGCCTGCTTCTGGAAGCAGGATGGGAGGACAGGAGGAGGTGGGGGAAAGCAGCTCCCCAACCTTCACCCTCCACAGCCCTGACGGAGACACCCGGTGCCTTGGCACGGAGACACTGAAACCAGGCAGAAACCCCTTCCCAGCCAGCAGTGTGTCCCCCTGCATCCACAGCACCCTGCTCACAGGCTCTCCGCGAGCTCCGGACCCTCATCCCCATCCCAAATCACTCACCTCCCCGCTCCCTGGCTCCCGTGAGCGGCCGGTCCCCGACAGCCCCATCGCCGGCTCCCGGCCCCTGCTCACCGCCCAGCCATCCGGGCGCGCTGTGCCTTACATTCTCCGGCTCTGAAGGCTTCCTGACGATTTGCATAGTTAAGCCGTAAACTAACCACAACATTCCTCTTATGATTTTGCAATCTGCTGGAATAACGTGGTCGCTCTAAGTCGAGTCGATGAATCATCATCTATAAACCACAGCTCTCGTCACCGGGGCTCTCAGTGCTGGCTGCAGCCAGCATGATTAATCCACCAGGATGCCAAGCTTAACCTATGGCACAGGGCTATTTATTTTCCAAACTTGCAAACCTCCGGAAAATGACTGCTCCTGCCTTCCTCATCCCCTTCTCTGGGAGATGAGTGGGGACCATGCCAGAGTCCAGCACACAAACCTCACTCGCTGCCCAACGAGCATCCCAGTGCTAACCACCAGACTGTGCACCTTGCAAACGAGGTCACTCACAGCCCCCTTCACTCCCTGCTGTGCAGCACCCTCAAAATACACACCAGAACACCACTGTCACCAGCACGGCTCAGTTCCCCAGCCCTGGTCCTGCTGGGGACCTTCTCGCAGCAGCTCCCGTGTGATGTTTAGCTGAGCTCATCCCTCTTGTTCCCACCCCAGGACAACCAGCTCTTTCCATCCCTGTCCATGTCACTTGCTGTGGGACAGGCTGGCAGGGAACTGGCTCAGGTCACAGTGATGGCACTGTGCAAGAGCCCAAGTGCCAGCTGGGAGTGAGAGCTCCCCTCTCTCACACCATGTTTCGAGGCCAGCCTGGCTGCACAGGGAATGTCATTTGGCGGCCAGCAGGTGCATCACATCCACTGCCATCATTATGGGCTCTTACAGAAC